GTAATTTTACCATCAAATGTGACACTGACAATGTTAATATTTCAAACATGCTCGTGTGAATAATCATCATTTAATCATATCACTCCTTCCAATCAGCAAAAACACATCATGGCAGAGCGAAATGTGCTGCTGAAGAACGTGAAACACCCTTTCCTAGTGGGGCTTCATTATTCCTTCCAGACAACAGACAAGTTATACTTCGTCTTGGATTTCGTCAATGGGGGAGAAGTGAGTTGTTTCAGTCTTGTGAATAATGCGCTCACACAGATGTGAGTCACAAGGCCAAGGAAAACCGAGCACGCAGCAGCAAAGGAAACGTACCAAAGATTGTGATTGTCTTACTGGAGATCTTGACAGTATCTTGAATGTGCTCTCGAGTGTGACTTCCCTTGTTGAACTCCTTCTGTGCTCAGCATGTTTAAAGCTGCCCTGTGTGACTGACTGCGTGAGAGTGACTAACTAAAATCTGTGTACAAGCAAATCTGCATCATGCCCTTCTAAATAAAACCCACAACATGTCAATGAAATCAGATCAATATGTAATCTGCACAGTCAAAGTTATTTGTGTAATAACCAAATAAAGGACTGGTATACACACTAGTGGCTTTAGCAAGATTTCACGACATCATTAATCATTTAATTTTCTTGGTATGCTCCAGCAATACAGTTACCATGTTGTAGTCGAAACGCGTTGACAATCCCTGTTAAATAAAGGATTTCTATATGTTATCGGAGTGCCTCGGACTTTCAGTTTAAGACTGCCTCTCCACACTTCACTTTTTCTATTCTAATCAGGAAAGTCAAACTTTTTTATTAACTATTCAACTATTGTCCCCTGTTCCTGAAGAGCACCTGATTTTTTTTCTATATTTATTTTGTTTTTTGACAGTGCAGCACTCACTTCTACGTTTTTTCACAGTTACCATGTTGGTCAATGATTAAATGCAACGTGTCCTTTTCCAGCTTTTCTTCCATCTTCAGAAAGAGCGGACCTTTCCAGAGCCCAGAGCAAAATTCTACATTGCTGAAATGGCAAGTGCACTAGGATACCTGCACTCTCTCAACATTGTTTACAGGTATGTTTGAGGGTTTAGTTCAGTAAACAAATTCTAAATCTTCAATTAAATAAGTGCTATTACAACAAAATAGATGTCTATGTAGAGCTGCTAAACATCTCAAACATAAAAGAAATGGGACAATATTTTAACATGAAGCTTGTTGTACTGAAATGATCTATGTTAGTCATTGATGCCATCCAGTCTACTGTACAAGGGCACACAGTTACAATAAGGTAGACTATCTGACACATGTTGACCCTGTGTGTGTCGTCAGGGCAATGATTGACTATTTAGTGTTTGTAAAGAGGGAATATAGGGGGTTAATAACCTTACAACCTAAACACATTCAACCTTTATTGACAAACACGTTATTAAGACTAATTTTGGCTTTTCCACAGTTATTCACATGATTTATCTTTATGGCTTTGCGGAGATGTCTTTTAATCTGCATTTGAATCAACAGTGAGGCAGAAAAAGTTTACAGTAGTATATTTTTTAACTATGTAATTGAAACAATAGAATAAGAAAAAAAAAAGAGTTTCACTTTTTCTGGTGGATATTCAAATATTTATCAGGGATTCTAACTTAAATGTATTCTTTTGTGTTCATTTTTTCCAGAGATTTGAAGCCAGAAAACATCCTACTTGACCATGAAGTAAGTTGTAATGTTTTTTTGTTTTGTCAAACAAATAGTTGCAATAACCATGATTATGCCAACTGTCCATCAGAAAGCCTAACAGATACAGCTTAAATGTCGTCCATCTCCAGTCATATTCGTGCCATATCCTGTCCCTGCTGGACGCAGAGTGTGTGATTTGATTAGGTCTTACTAATGATTTTCCTGCCTAACCTTATTGGGAGAACGAGGGAACGGTGAATGGGACTGACTGAGCCACGCTGCAGCCAACATTCCTGTGTCACAATAGAATCCACAGTCCCAAAGGATAATGAGCTGCTTGTGTGGCACATGTGGTCTAAAAGTGTCTCTCTGTTCCTCTCTTTAAAGGGGCATATCATTTTGACCGACTTTGGATTGTGCAAGGAAGGCATTTCCCAGACAGATACAACCATGACTTTTTGTGGAACACCTGAGGTATGATTTAGATGTTCACATGTTTGAGTACTGAAAATATTTCACAAGGGTGTTCCAATGAGGCCCAGGTTACAAAAGGTAAAAAACAGGAGTAAAGTGTATTCTGTCTTGAAATAGTGCTGTATGTGTAAGAATCTTAGTCATATTTTCCAAAGAGAAGAATATGCTATAATGAGCAAAAAATACTTGTGGATATACATATGTTTGGTGTATAAGGCCAATGTTATATTGTTTCGTTTGTTTGCTTTTTCCATCCAGTACTTAGCCCCAGAAGTCCTGAGAAAGCAGCCGTATGATAATACAGTAGATTGGTGGTGTCTGGGTTCAGTACTGTATGAAATGCTCTTTGGTCTGGTGAGTTTAAACTTACACTCACAGTTTACAGTGACTGTTATTCTTTAGTTTGAATCCTTGACTGACAAATATTTTCAATTTGACTGGGATTTATTGAAGCAAATTTAACATTTTGTTTTAGTGCTGCACCTTAGTGTTGGGTTACTCTCAACTGCATGCCATTTTTTCTCTTTACTTCTTTGTCCCAGCCGCCATTCTACAGCAGAGACACACATGAAATGTATGACAACATCCTCCACAAGCCGCTGGCGATGCGTCCTGGTGCGTCCAGTACAGCCTGGTCTCTCCTCCAGGGCCTTCTGGAGAAAGACGGCACACACAGACTGGGGTCCGGAGATGACTTTGTGGGTGGTTTAGTCCAAATACAAACACTATATGTACTGCAGAATTTAGTGTTATGGGGCTCCCTCTGGTGGCCAAACTGTGAATATCATGTTACTCCTGTTACCACAGATTTTAAGTTTTTTATATATTCCACATTTTCAGAATGAGATCAAAGCACACAGCTTCTTCTCCTCCATCAACTGGGATGACCTTGAGCAGAAGAAAATCCCTGCTCCGTTTACACCCAATGTGGTAAATATATTTGTTTCTATTAGATTCTAGCACAATAAGAAAATAACTTTGTTAGTATTTTACTGTGACTTGAATATTTGGTGGACACTACCAGAACACAAGAAAACATCCTAACACATCCAGACCACAGATATAGAGAATTTAAGAATTGTATAATATTACTTAAACACTCTCTCTTTTGCCTTCAAGAAAACTAATTGCATGTATCCAGTTCATCCACAATGTAGCATATAACAATCTATATCAGGTCCTGTCCACTTTTTAAAAATATATTCCTGGGTAGTGCCCCTTGTCGTCCTTGGACATAAAACTAAGTAAAATAAGTTACACTTGTACAGTGAATGCAATACATTAAAATACACCAGAAAAATGTCTTGATAGAACATAGCTCTTGTTTGTCAACATATTGTGCACAAAATACTTCAATGTAATGCTGCTGTATGTGGCTGCTCTAAATTGCACAGGTGTTTCTAAGTCACAGTGGTTGTTGCATAATTAAGTTCCATCTTATTTCATGGATATTAAAACACATTTAAAGGACTTAAATTAATGTACGATCAATGTAGTGTCCAATGTTAACTTTAAAGAAAAGTTTTCTCATTTGTATTGGCCCCTTAACTCTTTTGTCCCTCTGTAGAGCACTTTGTAAATTCAAAATTGAATGTAATTTATTTATGTCAAACATATAACATATAAAGTGTATGTTAGCTAACATTACAAATGTCCCCTTCCCTTTTTTTTTTTTTTTTTTTTGCAGAGCTCTTACTGTGATATCTCAAACTTCGATCCTGAGTTCACAGATGAGATGGTCCCCAACTCCGTCTGCTGGTCGCAAGATCACTCCATAGTCAACGCCAGTGTAATGGAGGCTGACGATGCTTTTGTGGGCTTCTCCTATGCCCCTCCTTCTGACGACTCTTTTCTATGAAACATTCCCAGTGAGGACTTCACTTGCCTTAACCATCATAACTTCTTTTGACTAAAGGGAAGAATTTATTCCATGGATGAACTTGTTCAATGATGCCAAAGCAAGCAGCTGAGAAGAGACAGCACTTACATAGATTTTTGATGGAACCAGATGTGCCAGAAAAGTCATTATATTTTACCAATTTGTATTTATATAAATATTACTAAACAGATGATATTTTTTAAGAACTAAGAACAGATCTCCTCTATTAATGTTATTTTTGGTGGTTTCTATTATGAGCCTTTAAACATAAAACCTTAATAATATCCCTAAAATTAAACCAACACACAATTTACTGAAAAACTTGAAAAGTTCACTAGACTTATAATCACACCATTTGAGGGTTAGATTGAAGTGTGTTAGTCGCTGTAATTACCGCAAAAAAAAAAAAAATTCCTGTATCGTATTCACGTATCGTATTCATTTAATTAAGCTGGAAATGGGGATTACTTGAGAGACCACGAAATAGAGAATTATGGTTTATAGGTCACATTTGTACAAAAGATTTCTTCTTCGGTTACCTTTCAGATGTCTATGGTTTGTTTTATTGGATTTTTTTGTAGGTTCTTTTTTGTTTTCCTGATTAATTGCATTATGTACAGAATTTGGAAACCCACAATTCTTTGCTTTACCTTACATTTTCACAGGCCTATACTCCTGCAAAGAAATAAAAAATATAAAGAAAATTACTCGGGGCGTCTGTGTATTTTATGGAATGTTTTTAAATAACTATTGATACAAATACATTAATTATAAATCAATTATAGTCGCAACACATCCACTCTTGGATCCCTCTGTTTTTTTTTCTACAAAGTGGTCACCATGGCAACTTGGTTGAGGATAGCGCGCCAATCTGTAAACGTGACAACATCGAGCAAAAGAGTTTTCCTTTGTCATGCTAGTTTGCTTAGCTCGCTGGTAACAGCGTACAAATTTGTGCCGTGATATAAAAATGGCTGATAGTTTGTCTTTGAAAGAATCAGCTCTTGTTTATTTAGATAGAAGTGGTGGTTTGCGTAGACTGGCCGAAGACTGCAAACGATTCAACGGTAAGATAGTCATGTCCCCCTGTGTGAGGACGTGAACAAAACAGGTTAACGCGAATTGTGCAACGCTGTGATTTCATTTCGACAATGATATCTCCCCCCCCCCACACACACTTCTTCCAGACCCCCAACAGATTGAGGCCGTGTACAGGTTTTGTGTCAGTGTGAATCCATGTGATGTGATGGAGGTGGATGCTGTATTGGGTGAATGTGTTCTACGGGATCCTCTAAAAGCTACAGCGTTGTTTCAGTCTGTGAGTTAAACTTTCTGCTAGTTTAATGACTTATACACTTCTATAACAATGTTGGTTAATCTACATTTGCCTTATTCCTCGTTCAGGTTTGCTTCCTGGCCATTAGGACACTTTCACTTGTTGAAAAAATACACACAGAGAACCAGGTAGTACTGTATGGGCAAAATGGTGTACACCTTTTCTTCCATTTATTTACTGAAGAAAAAAATTCAGAGCCTATAAGTCTATTTCCTCAATTGTATTATAGACTCAGTTGTGTAAATATCTTTAATCTGATTGTTCATTTTGAGGTGAACGTAATCCTGAAGCTGACACACCTGCCTCCATTCCCTGAGTACATCCTGGACCTCTGTAGTTTTCCTCGTGGGTATGGTCCCATGAGGCCTGTCTCCATGGAGGGTCTGGTCATTGCCATGACAAGGGTCACCAAATATACTCAGGGGGCCAGGTTCCTCTGCATTAATGATGACTGTCCCTGCTCTACAGGTACCACATGGAACATACACAGTCACTTCTTAACTCTCATTTCTCTCCGAGATTCTAGTGGGGTTTTTTTTTGTTTTTTTTTTAGAACATGCCGTGTTCTGGCTTTTTACTCACACAATTGTTAATCTTTTTCAAGAAATTCTCAGGTGGTAAGCGTTCATTTTTTTTTTTTTATTGGTTTCACATTTTATTTAATTTCCTGAATACTGCCCTTAGGGTTTCATCACATTCGGGTCCATGCACCTGGAGCCACAGAATCAGCCACCGTGAGGAACGACTTCAGTTGCATGGTCTGCAGCTCCCCGCTGAAAGAGGATGTGAAATTTAGAGTACTGGGAGGTGGGATTGTCGTAGTGTCTGAATGTTACTCATTGCACATGCAAGAAGTTAAAATACAACTCTGCATTGTTATAATCTTTATGTTTGTGAATGTGCCTTTGTGGAGACAGACAAACAGCTTGTGGAGCTTATCCACGTCAAAGCACTGGATGCTCTTAGTGCCCTTCAGCGAGGCGCCTTCAGGTACCAGTCCGTCACCCTGTTTCTCAGAGGTAAGTCTACATCCGATTTGTGTGGAGTGTACAGGCTATTTACTGTTCAAACTAAGGTCAGCTCTATACCCGTGTCGTATGGTGCTGAAAAATGGATAAATGCAGCAAAATAAAATGCTTTGATGGCCTATTTCATCTGATGGAGGTGGGGGTAGTGTGGCGAAAATATGCACAAGCAGAATGCATTACTACAAACCTTATTCGACAAGAATAACAGCCTTAAACAAAAACATATCAGCAGTTAACAGCAGAGTAACCTAATCCTGAAATAGCAAAGAATCCATCAACCAGTGAGTTTTTTTAGCATTAAGTAACCATGTCAAGACTCTTGACCGTGTCTGACCAGTAGCTGACTGCGCTGCTAAAAAATGAGTTTTTGTATGTGCTTAGTATAGAAAAAATAGTGTAACTGGGATGAAAAACAGAATTTGTATTAGCTAGTTAAAGTGTAATTGGGCATACTGTAATATCCTCCAAATGTAAAGGGAATGATGATGTTTGTAAACTCAAATTCACATCTATAATATTCATTTCCAGCCGTTTAAATGTAGTGTAATTGCTCATATTTACACACAGTCAGATGTATTGAAGTGTCTGTAATTTTCTCTTGCTTTCTAAATGAGCCCCACTCTAAAACGGTAAGTGGGGGAGAGTTCAAATAAATAGATTTTTTTTTGTACAGCCAGCCGCATACTGTGCCATATGGTGGGATATTAAGTGTTTCTGTCCCCTCTAATAACATTGTCCAGGCAGTACCCATGAGAGCTTAGCAAATCTCAGAACAAAGATTAACATATTCTGTTGACCCAGTCCTGTAGAGGAATTCAATACACTGAGCTCCCGTTACTAAATATATATGTTAATAAGTGGAAGGAACACTCATTAGCCAGAAGTGCAATACGCACACAGAGAAATCTTTGTTCTGAAGGCAGCACTCTTGTGTTTCTCTTGGCAGTGGTTTGAAGGTGGCGTGCATGTTTCTTCAATAATCACCAGGCTGCACAGAACCTCCCCTTTGCTTTGTTTCCTCCATTCATGCAGATGAGCTGTGTAAATCGATGAGAATCGGTCGACTCTACAAGGTGTTAGGTATTCCTGCGCATGTGCACCAGTGGCCAAGTATTACCTGGAGTGTAGAGGCAAATAACATCCAACCTTGGGAGCCAGAGAGTAATGCAGTACTTTATTTCACATGCTCCAGATCTAAAAAAAAAAAAAAATCCTGTCTCTGGAGTAGTTCTACCAGAAATGAATCTGAAGAGAACTTGCTACAATATATTCAAAATGATCACATTTCTTGGCAACGTAGTGCATTGTAACATTTTGATGCGTCCCACAGCTCTTCCAACAGGTCTCCATAAAGTCAGTGGCCACTTCCAGGATCTCTTGAAGGCCACAGTAGGTTTTCCGTGGAGGTTCTCTGCAATCGTGGCTCACTGCTTCGGGTTGCATGTGGCTCCTCAAGGCCTTTATAATACCTTAAAGCTGGGCCTTCTTCTCAGTTTGGTGCAGACTAGAGCAGGTTCAAATGACACGTTTAACAACTTGGATCTCCTAGTCGTCGCCACTGACACTCTCATACTAGACAGGTAAAGTAGTCATAAGTTGTAAAACCTTATATGAAACCTGAGCTATTGTCCTGCTCATTAACCTTTACCCCTGTGTTTGTGTTAGACTAATGACATACAGCCTGGGCTTGGCGTGTCGTGGGGTCAGGCATCAGGCCACAGGGGAGATGTTTGCATCTCTATCCCGGGACGAACATGGGGCAGGTACTGCTAACATTCACGCTGGCTCTGCCCTGCTCGCCACTGGTGGTGTGTGCATGTTGGGAGATCTGGGCTGTTACAAAAAGGACAGACTGGATGCTATTCAGTCAGGTGAAATAGCCAACATGTTTATTATTTCTGCCAGCAATTCATATAATAAGATAAGTTCTGCGACATTTTAAAACAACACTAAACTCGTGTTTTGTTTTGTTTTTGCTCAGTCCTGGAGAGTAGCACGGTGTCCGTTTTTATCCCAGGAAAGAAGTATGGAGAGGATGCTGATCAGCAGTTATCTTTCCCCGTTCAATGCAGCTTCTGGGCCATCACAGATGCCTCTCGACGGTCGGGCAAGGCAGACTCTGCTGTACTGGGAACAGCAGTAGGTTCAATCACAACATGGGGTTATCACGTAGTACATGATCTGAATTAACAACTACCAGGTCTGCATTGATGCAAGGTTTTTTTTTAATTTTTCACGAGTGTCATATGGATGTGGAAATAACACTTCTGTGGTAACTATTTTTTCTTTTGATAAGATTTGTATTTATGAAATTCAAGGTAAATCATATATGTTCAGTTTTTACCATTATAATGAAAAAATAATAGAAATACCAATAATAGTTGCAGTATAACCAGTGAAGAAATACACAATAATTAAGATAAGTGGTTGTGTGTGCTGAGTTCAAGAAATGCTGAACTTAATTTAACTCAGATGGTATGCAGATAATGGAGACAAAACAGGAAATTGAAACAATTTACTTTTCTCAAAGGAAGTGCCCTGCCCAGGGAGCATTAGTTCACAGCAGAGCACTTCAGAAAGATTGTTTTGTTTTTGAAGATAAAAATAAACTGGCAATATACATGTATCAGGGATGCTTTAGATCGGTGGTTCTCAACTAGTGTAGCCTCAGGTCACACCAACTCCTCATTTTTTTTAAAGTGTTCAACCACTTAGATTTATATAATAAAAATTGTTCTGTTTGGAGCATAGATGTAACAATATGTGACCGAACAAAAGGACAGGACCGGAAAAAAAACATGTCTAAAAGGGACGTCAGACTTGTTGCCACTTTTTATCCCAGGTACTGTACACATACACAACCCTGTGAAGACGTCTACATCCTCCAGTTAAGATCCACTGACTGCTTTTAAAGGTAACATTTAGCACCTTTCTGATGCTCAGTTTTCTCTTTTCAAAGGAATTGGGTCCAGTACCAATCCAGGTGGCAGACACATTTGGCCTGCTCATTCAGTGCAGGGACTCGGGAGAGCAGGCCCTTCTTGCCCAGACTGTCCACACCCTCCAGCAGGCAGTACAGCCAGGAAAACGCCTCTACACATCCAGCTGGGAGTTTTCTTCTCAAGACTACCAGGAGGTTAACAAACATGTTGTGTAAAATACACTGCTCTGATTGAATTGTTTTGACACTGACTCAAGAATTACCTTTGATTAAATTCACCAGCTGATAGCTTATGCTCAGAGTCTTCAAGTGGAGCTCAGCCCCAGAGCAGAGAAAATAATCCACGGTTACTACATGGCCAGCCGAAGAGTCCGAACACAGAGCCAGGGTGTCAAGATGTCTGTGGCCTCAATCAAACTACTGTAAGCCAGAAAAATAAACGCAGTTTTAACATTCTCTTCCAATACTTTATTGCACATATCAGGATCTTGAGTCATAATCAAGTGTAATGTCAGTAGAGTCCACTAGGTGGAGAGCTTTCATACTCTTGAGACTACTCATCATTTGGGAATGAAAAATGTTTACAGATCTATTTCACTGTGCTGACATATTTAATGTGGTGCTAAATCTTTAAAATAAACCCTTTTCTGGCTGCAGGACAAAAATGTCACATTATTGCTAAACATTTAAGTTTCTATCCTACAATTCCACAGGTACGGTAATTTATATGGAATAACTACTCGTCAAAACATTAACTCGACTTTGTCTATTTTCTTTATTTTTATTAAAGGATCTCTTTGGCCGAGGCTCACTGCAAGTTATGTCTCAGAACCCGGGTGCTAGAGGAAGATGCCGTGATTGCAGTGCTCCTCTGTGAAAACTCAGTTACCCTAAAACACGGTGAGTTACAATACAACTAGGTTATGAAGCACATAGAAATCACATTAATGCTTACATGTTTTGTAATTTTCTACTTTCACCTTTTTCAATTCTGTACTGAAAGTATTTGGTCAATGTGTTCATCAGGGCGGCTTTGAAAGGTTCATTTAAGCCATGCCTTCTTTCTACAGGGGCCTCTGCTCTCATTATTCCACCGGACGCAGTGTTTCCTTGTGACCTGGGAGACACGGATGGTTTGCACATGAGGGACTTGACCCTAGATGAGCTCCACCAGAATATCCTACGCTTCATCTACACCTACGCACCAGGAGCAGACACATACATCACTGAGGAGTAGACCGCAAAACAGGTAGGCAGCACAATCACAGTAACCATTTACCCCATAAAGTGATCAGGATTGTTCTATTTCTTCTGTCACTTGAAAACTAAATAATAAAACCTACAAAATGACCATATAATACAATGTTGATTCATTTGCACACAGTAAATTAAAAATCTGTTTAGACAAGAGATATGTTGGGAAAGTTCAAAGATCAAATCAAAGCAGTTTCCTTTTTTTAAAACAGATTTATTAACAGAAGACAAAAAATAAATAAAGTTAAAATAAATCTCCAAATCTTGATCCATCAGCTCTGGAAAACCTGTAACAAAATATTAAACACATTTAAATAAAACAACCATGAGGACAAAATGACAGTACATGTATTGTATGTGCCAATATGAAATGTTGGCTGAGATGGTTTGGATACATACCTCTCAAATACGATTTCTCATATCTTCTTAGATGGCTCTTGTGCTCCATTACCTAGTAAAGAAAATATGGGATTCAATTATCAGAGACTGTGAAAACTAATATTTATGGTCTTACAATTTTGCCTTCTAATTCAGTTAGTCACATTCTCAGCAGCCCATTTTGGTCTGATGGGTAAACGGCAAATATGAACTCATCATAAAAAAGAACAGGCAAGTCTTCTTAACCAGAAGCACAAACAGCTAAAGTATTTAAAAATGATATTTACTTACCACAAATGAGATTTAGGAAAACCTTAGAGGAGGATTTCTGTTCCACTCCAGCACGGACTTCTCATCTGTAGGGGAAGTAGAAGATTGTTTAATATGTCTATTTCATACATAGCAATTCCATTAAGCAAGAGGACATGTCCTTACATCATGCAACATTTTACACCGTACATTTTTATTAAACATCCTCAGAAAAGGAGTCCAATAAAGTAAATCTAAGGTTGCAGCTGGATATTCAGTTTTCAAAGTCTCACCACTCTGTTGTCTGATGGGTAAACGGCGATGAAAGTGAACTCATCATTATTCCAGCAGCAAAATTATCATATTCAATATGTCTGCAGTAACTGGTCTTTTCTAAGCTACAACTGCATTCAACTTAAACACCAATGTCATTTGAGCAGCATAAATACATAGTACAAAATACTGTAGCAAGGCACTCACCTCTCGATCGGCATAAGCGACAGCGTACTACATCTGGTGCGTCTCCTGTGACCACCGCACGACATCTGAGGCCGAGAGGGAAACAAATACAAAAAAAAAAAAAAAGGATGGGGAGAAGTTTTAAATTAGCGACATTTAATTAACATCTTAGTTGAACCAGTCAAGACTGATCTGATAATGCTGGCGTTTCAGTTAGTCACAGTGTCACCATATTATTGTCTGATGGGTAAACGGCAAATATGTGAAGTCATCACTATACCAGCACTGGGCCTTAAAAACGCACAAAAACTTTTCTTTGCTCACCTTCATGTTAACCGGTGCAAAACCAATATCATCCATCTTTAGATCAAGTGGTTACTGGACATCTGGAGGGGGGGAAAAAACTACTAATGAATATTCATTTTCATTGTTTACCATCATTTATTTTGCATGTTTTATGTGTAATTATTGAACAATATCTTACCTTATTACGTGTACCACTCATAGACGAGCTTTGTCATCTTCATCAGCACACCTTTAAATAAAGAAACACACAAAAGGTCAAATCATTTTTATAGTCAAATGCACGTCTCAAGTTTTAAGTAACGTTCACCACTTCAATTTGTCCCCATCTGTCAAGATCAGTGTCACGAAATGTATCAAACATCAATTGTTTCCGCTACTCTCAGGAGTCATGTATTGATATTCCGGCTTGCTTTAATAAGATGTACTCAAGCAAGAGCCAATAAAGGTGACGAAAGATGAGTGATTACATTGAGGTCAGAGGGTTCAGTGTGACACAGCTTGGGAGCATGGCTTGACGTCGCAGGCTTTGAGGACGGGTTCAACTGCAGGTCACGACCTCTGCCATGACCTCAGGCCCTCAGAGAGAGCCATGGTGACTCTCCCCTGGTTAAAATCATGGGAGAGGGCAACTCCCTGACCAGCAGCTCTTCTGCTGACCCCTGGACATAACCAGATATGGAAAGGGCTGAACGACACAGAGGGACGTTTTTCCCCCCCTCCCCTTTGAACTGTCCTAAAGATGATTTATTGCTTCACCTCACTTCAGGGATGATAATTATCTGTGTTGAGACATCCAACCTGACTTCCCAGTGGTTCATTATGAGGCTACCTGGGAATTAGAGGTGACAATAAAACGACCTGACATAAGCTCGTCAAACATTACAGTGCGAACAGACTTAAATAAACCAAACATGTGGGAATAAATCATCTTTTATATTCACTCCACACTTAAACCTTCATGTGTACAGAAAATAAACATAATTATCAAGTAAAAGTTAAGCTCTACATGTGCATTATTCACAAGTCGAACAAACTATCTTATGCATTACGAGTTTGGTGAAAATGTATCCCAACATTTTAGCAAAGCTCCTCTCGCACCACGTGGTGGACATTTGAGCTAACATTAGCAACTAGCTAGCGAACATGCTGCCAACATGTTCAGGAGGAGCTCAGCGCTTCTTCCTCCGGACACATTAGACAAGCAGGAAACTCAGGTGCACACTAGTTTAAAGTCATCTCCCTGTTGCCTACCTGTGTAATGAAGCTCGATCATGATTGCAAGCTTCTGAGTTTGCAGATGCTGACGACGACGAGGCGGATGGCGGTGCCGCTCGTGGTTGCGACTGCAGGACAAGAGGCAGGATTTCCGGATCCCGTGCTGCTTTATGTGCGCGCTGAAGCTGCGCACTGCATCACCATGACGCGCACAGCTGGGCAACGTTTTAATAGCAAGCACACATTAGCTACACCCTACTTCTTTGATATTTACATCTTATAGAAAAACAAGTCATTTTCATCATTGCATTAAAATAACAAATAGGTGATCAAAGGTGGCGATTCAGCTCAGTTCAGATAAAACTGCATTTTTATTTTTTTATAGCTATAATTAACACAACTAAAACCTCTCACCAGACCTCCCTCATAGCCTTTAAACTTTAATAAACGTTGTTTTTCTCATATTGTTTGACAATTCCTTTTTTTATTTTTTAAATCAATTCAAATCTAAGAAAAGTCAAGAAAATTGAGATATTTTATGAATGTCATTCAGGCAGCTTCACGTAGCCTAACTGTTGCTTTTACTGATTTTCTTTTTTTATTCAAATGTTAATTTGAGATGTTGATTTTCTGAATATTTAAGCCTTTTACCTACAAATTCTAGTTTGCTCTCACTCTGTTACAAGCTGAAACACATAGCCCTATTATACATATTTATTATCCTTTGTGAAAACTTTTTGCTTTAGTTTGGGACAGTTTCGGTTTTAATTCTATTAACTCTACCCATTAAAATAAAATTCATTATTTAGCCTCATGCTGTATTTTAAGACTTGTCTGGATGTTTCTTATTGCCACATGGCCTGTAAGTGAATATTGTTCGATTAAAAACAAAACAATTAGATGACAAGTTTTGATATAATTAAGATTATATTAAGAAATGATTATTCCCTGAAAACCTCATGCGGTCTTTTGATAAAAAAAAAAAAAAAAAAACGTTTCTGTATGTCTTATTAAAAGAGATAAATAAGGATCTTTATAGACTTAGATTAGTGTTGTGACAGGAGACTCGTCTTCTTTCATTGAAGTCATTTATTCACAAACACATTTACAACCATGCATGTAAAAATAAAAAGGAACATGAGACGAAGAGCATCCATTGTTGACACCCTGACAGACCACTTCACATGACAGATGTCGAGTTATTCACACATGCATTTAGTGCAAAAGTCTCAACTGAAAGTGCACACCTCAAGCATGACGGGCTCGTTACCCCGTGGAATTTACAAATATACCTGGGACATGTAGGGAGCTGCACAATGCAGGGCAAACAGGATGAACCAAAACAACAACAGAGAAACATCATGTCTGTCTCTTCAAAATCTATACAATATTTAATATATTAATTTACATCGTCTTTCCTATTGGCAGGGTTTTAGTGAAATTAAAGTTACATTGAGCTAAGTATTCTACCCTCATAAGGCAACAATAAACAGCATGGACTCATGCAAATGTGAAATATCGTCTTACAAATGATTTTTAAGCCTGTTACTTGGAGGTGGAGGAGGAAGGGCCTTGATTCTCTGAGTCTGAACGATTTGTGTTGAGGAACTGTCCGGATGCTCCGACGTACAGTCTGGATCGCATGGGCCATTTCTGCAAGAGGCATTTCATTTGTTAATAAATAAACAATTAAAAAGGAAACAGGTTAGCATGTATTAGGGTTTTTATTAGTATTAGGCAACTATTATTATTATTATTATTACTGACCTTGACTGGGTGCAGGTAGCCGTCCCCCTTTAAAGAGTGTAATGCCTCTGTTTGTTTTGTGTTCTCTCCCTCCTCTGCGCCTTCCTCCTGTAGTGTTCGAGTCAAATGGGCAATATAGGTGGTGGCCAGTATCAACACGTCGAGTTTGGACAACTTGGTGTCCGGTGGCACGGACGGCAAAGTCCTTTGGAGCTCCAGGAACGCGGTTCTCAGGGTCTGCACGCGGCTCCTCTCCCGCGCTGCGTTCGCTGCTGCCGGGCGTCCTCTGCCGCCGAGCCCGCCGAGCCCGCCGCTCTGCAGCACCCCGCCGGCCCGCTGGAGATCCCGACGACGCCCGTCCGGACTGGGACTGGAGCTGGGACTGGATGCAGGGCTGTCATCCACCACCACCCTGGAACAAGAAGCGTTGTCCATCCGGAGCGTCTGTCTTCCAACCATCCGGGTGATCTCACAGACCTGAAGAATAATATTTATTCAGACCACATCAAGTCACTTTAGTTAAAACTGCCATCTGTATTGCACCTTTTTCAACTCAAATTATAATCGAAAAATGATTTAAGACTAGGATTATAATTTCTTTGGACATATGGCTCTGCTCTACCGATTAACAATAGGCCTTCTTTAAAAGAGTATTCACATGAAACTTAAAGTAGGCCTATATGATAATTGAAGTTATATCCATACAATTATTTATTAAACCATAATTTAAGATGTCTTGTCTGAAATCAATTATTATGATTATAAAAATGCACACTGTTTTAACGTTTATACTAACAAAAAAAATGAATAGAATAAAACAGTATATAGCTGTTAAAAAGTTGAAGTTAAGACATGTAAATATATTTGACATGTCAAAGTATCTTTAGCACAAATTAAGCCCCTGTCCGGCTAAACTCATGAAACACGTTCCTGACTTTTGGTTGATAAGAAATGTACCTGTGTTATCTCGCACGGACTCTGTCTTGACAGCAGACATATAGGCGATCTCAAAAGAACTCCAATAGATAATTTTTTTTGACTTCAGTGCAGAAAAGTCCCAGTATGCGTCCGATGTATCCTTTTAAAGAGGTGCGTCTGCAGGAAGCGGTGCGCAGCGGTCCCTGTGCGCTCATCCAACACTTCACCTGTGTGCGTAAAGGTCTGAGGAGCCTTTCATTTACTGGATACACAAAGCGGTGGACAAGTAATTCACTCCGGAGTAATTAATCTCTTGCGCTATAACACTCTTACAGTGCAAGAAGACTGCTCTCCCCTTTTCCTAACTTCTCTGTGTCTGAGGGCAGCAGAGGCTCGTTTTCTACGCCAGAGGCAGGGCTCTCCTCTCCTGTAGCTCTCATATGCGGTGGGCCAGACCCCACTCTAATTGGCTGCGGGGCTGACCTTGTATTTTCTTTATGAGCCTATCCAAGTGTGAACGAAAGTTAGTCAAAATCGCCTGAAAAATGGGCTCGTCATTCTCACAAATAAAAGTTAGTCTTTTCACAAACGCTATTTGCAGTAGACAGTGACAAGTGTAAGGCGATATGCAAAACATTTGACTAATTGCCAGCGTGTCTTGAATTGCAAGCTCATTGGAACAGCTAATAAATAAAGCCCAGCGCTGCAATCAACAGGCAGGCATTGAGGAAATTCTTGTGAGACTCATAAATTAATCACTCTGATTTCCGAGGCTCCAAACGGAGATGTCGGCAAATTAATGAAAGGAATTATTCATAATATGTATATCCTCGGACTGTTCCTAATAAACATTGTTTTTGTAAGGATGGAGTAACAGTATTGCTCTGGGCCACTAATTTATACAGAGAAGTAGAAGTAGGTTAAGGCAGCCTGTTTCCTTAATAACCCCGCATCTTCCAGGGGTTAAACACCCACGTGGCTCCTTAAGACTCATTCAAACATTTAATGATGACAATAAACACATCCGGATCATTACTATACTTGCAATGAGAAAGGACAGGATCATTTATCACAGCTGTTTAAACAGAGGCATGTATTGTTAGCATTAGATCATGTAAAACCTTGTAACTGCAGGAGAGTATTTAGATTGTGCCACTCTGCATCTCTCATTCACTTATTTACTGAAATGCATGCAGATGAAAAATCACACACACACACACAGCATAAATCGTACGACTATCAAGAATAACAGGTTGAGTGGGATAGTTTATTTGAGTTCTCAGACCTCGAACATGTAGCTCGAAATAAATGAGCTGAGAAAGTGAGGGGAGGAAATGTTCAAAAACGATTTCATATTTTTTTAAGTTTTGAAATTCCCTTCTGTACAACAGTACATTACAGTGTATTTGATTACTTAAAGGAATTTAGATTGAGTTACAACTGGGATTAAATTGTAAAATAATTAAAAAAAGAAATAGTCTGTGAAAAAAGTCAACATTTAAACCACTGTAATCCACCCTTAAGTGCCTGCAGCAAAGTAAACTGATTGTTTTATGTCCTTTGAAATACAGCAGAGAATAAGTGATCCACAGCTTTTGTGACGTTGGCAGTAGCAGGGTTACTTCTGTGCTCAGGCTAATTTCTGTGGAGGCGATAAGAGATTTGTTTTAAGTATCCAGATGAATGCAGGTGATGGGTGAGGTGAGGATGAGACAGCCACATGACGAGAAGTCCACATAGGAGCATTTCATTTCTATGCCCTATGATTTCAGAGAAAAAGAAAGTCATGATAAAACAGTTCACCTATCATGAAAGGTGTCTCCTACTGTACAATTAGGCTACATGACAAATGTTCAATGACATCGGCAGCAGTGCTAATCAAAAAAAAAAAAAAAAGGAAGTTATTGCAAGAAGGAAAAATGACAGACATTGAAATAACAGGCAGACAAATCAAATACAACTAATCTTAAATATTGTTACTTGATCTTGGGGACAGCTGGTTGTAACAATAAAATCATTAAGTAGTTACAGTGTAGTGACTTTTAACTGAGATCTGTGTGAACGATGACAGCAGACCTGAGAGACTGCTGGGGCTTCCACCTCTGCACATTAGCGTGGCTGTGGATGTGAGCAGGATGTGGACCCAGGCCGACATTAAAGTCACCTGGAATAAAAACAAAATCACACAATTAGACACACTTAAAAAATACAAAAAAAAAAAAAACGTTTGATGTAAAGAATAAAAAGGATAACAGAAAATGAGGTTTATGCTTTTAAAATATAATTTGTGATTTTTGGAAGTTTCTATTTGACTTGAAAAATTCAAATGTGTTTTTAGGATGTGGCTGTTTCTCAACACTGTGGCTATTCATAATAATGTATTTCATATAGTTCAAAGATGTTGGCAATGAAAAGGGAACATTTTTATCACTGAAGTTATTAATGAAGGGCTTGCCTGTTATACACACAGATGATTCCATAAGTTACAAACAGAGGATAATTGTGAACAATATAATTATAGATCTTACTGTGGATTTAAAAAGTTATTAATTTCACAGCTTACTTGTTAAGGGATAAGAGATCAACTGTCCAGTTGTCATATGTTGGTCGTTTTTGATCTTCTTTGCCTCTTTGGATGCTTTCCAGTTAATAAGGAACTGTCTGGTTAACTCATTAATTTCCCGCCCATTAAGAACCTCTAAATATTCAAAGTACACAATACAAAATACAAAAAAATATTACTATTTATTATTTTTATTATTAGGTGGGCAATTCAATTTTAGCCTGGCCTGGCTTAGTCAAGGCAGTAAAGTGCATTTTCACATTAGGATGCTGTTAGGTAAGACAGAAGCTGATCTCTCACCCAGGCTTGTGCACACAGTTATCAGGCAGTCTCTGTACTTTGCTTTTTTACACACAGGATTTCCACTCAAATCCATCCGAGTCAGCTGATGCCAATGGTTGAATACTTCCTCTAATTCCTGAAAATACAAAAAAAGGGAAAATAAAACATTATCTGTAATGATCATTTTACCCTCTAATAAGTCAAACTAAACACAACTGTGTCTGCAGCTTTGCTCATTAGCTAAAATGTACAATTGTATTCTAAACAAATAAAATGCTCATAAATGATATAACACTAACCCTGCATGGATTAACACCAGTATAACTTGAAAAGCCGTGGTATAAGTGAATGTTAATTTGAGGTACAAGGGCCAGTGGAGGCGCATAAACAACACATCAGTCCATTTTAATAAACAGTGTCACCGGTGTCATGTAACTACAAGTTTTCTCTTGGGGCGGTGAGAGGCTGGCTCCTCCAGCCAGTTGCCTGCAGTTGTATGTTTATCTAAAGGCACATTAATCCAAGCCTGGAAATATGAATACTCTCTGGACACGCTCTGATTGTTCATTGCCTTCCTGTCTTGGCCAAAGCGCTTCCACTTTTCCAGCTCGTGCTGCAATCAGTTCAGAGGGGACCCCTGAGCACCGCGCGCTCCCAGGCTTTGATAAATGATCGTGTCAGGGCCGTCACTCAGAAGGCCCTCACCGAAGAGCAGCCAGCGCCAAATTGCCCCCCACACAGGGGCGTGGAGAACAGCAGAGGCAGGATACTCACTGACTCAGTCGGCTCTCTTGCCTGGACTAATGATGGGCCAGTTATGAACCTGTATTTGACCAGGCCTTCGATTCCCCGTCCTCTCTGCCCTGCACACAGCTAACGGCCTCCAAAGATGCTCCCATTTGTCACCCTGGCCGACTGCCTGTCATAATCTATTTTAAAAAATCCATAATGTTTCCTCTGGATTCTGAGCAAATGGCGCAAAAGAAGGGATTGATCCTTAGGAGTGCTGTCTTGCAGGATCGATAGTGGCAGACGGGTTGTATAAATTATAGGACATATCTGCTATAAATGACACGTGGACAGCAATTACCTGCATCAAAGTTCTCAAAGGAAAATTCACCTCAGTTTTAAGAGCCTGAAGTCATCAACATTTTAAGTTCATATATCAATTAAAACAGAAATCAAATCGGAGAGAGAGAGCTTAAAAAACAATCAGGTCATTTTTCAAGGAAGTCCAGGAGCATAAATCATATCTGTGCTTTAGATGAATCTCTCATGAAGTTAAGTACCGCTGGTTTAGGGTATCAAATAGAGGATTCTGAGGCAGGGAGGAAAAATCAGCCTCCCAAGGATAGAGAGAAACTTGTGCTTGTTTAAAGCTGTCAGCAAGAAAAGTCTCCGGGGAATGGCTCGCTGATTTGTTGAATAATTCTGACCCTGTGCAACTCATGGAGACTGGGAACCTACGGCAGGATTTGCAGGATTTGGTTTTTTGGAATCCTGTTCTCCATATCATTTCACACATGACTTCAGAAAGCTACAGAACAATGTTAATGCCGACCCGATCTACTAATATCTGCTCTGTTTACTTTAATACACCATGCCATGCAAAGTTGCTGTGATGTGATGCAGCACAGTGCACAGAGGGCAGACCGTTTTTTTATTTCTTCTGAACTACACGGTTAAAGAGACATTTTTTATACTTACCTCCATTCTGTGGAATTTATTGTCAGCAGCAGAAAAATGCTTGAGCTCCTTCAGCACTGTCAGGCCTTTGATGTCATCGATGTTGTTGTTGTTGATGTTCAGGACATGAAGAGATTCCTGTGCAAAGGATTCAGATTTAAAAGAGAGAACAGACTTCATGTAACATTAAATATAGTAAAAGAATATTTAAAGCCAATATTACAAAGTCATCCCCATTTAAGTCATTTAAAAGTTCTTTGTGGCCGAGTGTTAAACATGGCAGTTATTGAAATATGAAATTATACATCTTCACTGTAAGAGGCAGAAGATGTATTAACATGACCATTGTGACTGTCTTTGAAACAGTATTTACACAGACATTATGCAAACACATCACAGCACTATTGTTAGTACAGAAATTCAATTTTCACTTAGGATTAACCGTATTAGCTTGCTCTCTTTTAATGCCTGAACTACTAGGAGCTTGTCCAAAATCAGACTCTAGAAATTGCGTATCTATATATTCATCCGGGTTTGAAGTTCTATAATGGCACGTTTATATAAGCTGGAACTCTTTAAATTTGCACAGCAATTTCTTTTAATTATCCAAACAAACACGAAGCTGAGACTTTTGGTGTGTTTATCCATGGCCTGGGCGGTAAACGAAGTAAACAGATCTAACTGATTTGTCAGACCAGAGAGAGCAACAGAGGTCTCTTTGACATCATCAAACCCAGCACAAGATATGCTCTCACATGGATCACTGGCCTCTGAGAAATCTATCTGAGATCTCCTCAAACTGGATGTGATAACCTACCACACCGATACAAGCCACAGGAACATCTGCATCAAAAGGTAATAAGGCTTTCGAAACTCTGACCTTTTGATTGTCTAAATAATATAAAATGAGACTGAGCAAAGCCCAAAAACATCAAGAAATGTGGATCATCCTGCATTTCTCATACTATCTTTGTACTGAACAGAGGAAAAGTTGGTCATACAGCCAGAGAGAGGAGAGTCCTGGGGTCAAGGAACAACTTTTCCCCTGGTGCCAGCCTTTGATTCTCAAGGTGAAGCTCCCTGAGCTCACAGAGCTTCTCTAAGCCCTCCACCACTGTGATCCTGTTTCCACTCAGATACCTACAGAACAAGAAAACCACACACACACACATGTTCAGACACACCTAAGATTTAAAATGACTATCCTTGTATTAAAAAAACACAACAATCACTTAAACTGTTCTACTCACAGTTTGGAGAGCTTCTGCAGAGTGAAGAGATTATCTATTTTAGTGATGTTGTTGTTCTGCATGTACAGATGGGTGAGGTTGGAGGCAAAGTCAAGGTTGCAAATGTGTGTGATCTGATTATCGTAAAGGTAGAGGACAGTGAGGTTTCTGCACATGGAGATATCACCCTGGAGAAAGAAAATCATGTACAATGGAATACATTAGAAAGAAACGCACAGATTTAATTTTATTATATTTATAATAAAATTAAATCTGTGCGTTTAATATTTAATATTTATTTATTAATGCCTGCATTAATAATGGCTACTTACAATGTCTTCAATATTCTTTCCAGAAAGGTGGAGGTGGGTGAGGGTCTTAAGGTACTCTGGGAAGGAGAGGCCCCTTTTCTTTTTGAAGTGGTTTTTAGATTTACCAATCACATCTAGGGTCAGACGTACCATGTCGGCTCGTCACAGACTCTGCTTTAGAGAGGATCCTTTTCAGCATCAGCCAAGCATTCAGCCCACAGCAGAGCCCAGAAGCCGTCTGCATGGGAGAAAAAAAGGTGGGTGAGGGTCTTAAGGTACTCTGGGAAGGAGAGGCCCCTTTTCTTTTTGAAGTGGTTTTTAGATTTACCAATCACATCTAGGGTCAGACGTACCATGTCGGCTCGTCACAGACTCTGCTTTAGAGAGGATCCTTTTCAGCATCAGCCAAGCATTCAGCCCACAGCAGAGCCCAGAAGCCGTCTGCATGGGAGAAAAAAAGAGACACATGGGCACAACGCCAGCATTTTATAATCATAAACGACATGCAAAGATTAACCGCTTATGGAATTTAAAATGGCCTAAAATCTACTTGTCAATTCACGAAAAGGAGATAATTGATGTAAAAAAAAAAAAAAAAAAAAAGCATCAATAATATTCTCCTGGACATTTGCTGAGAGGCCAAGGGTCAGGTGACTCCTGAACTTTGTGTTGTAATTAGAGCAGCAGATTCCCAAAGCAGACTGATAAGCGCTTACACTTGGGGGCTTTTTAATTAACCCAACGTGACATTGTTGTTGTTTTTACTTCTTTTATTTGTCAATGGACCATGTACAATATTAAACATAAATGTTGCCATTTGATACATTTTACCAGAGTTAGCTAAGAGTTGGTTTACATCTGCAGTCCCCTTGGCAGGTGAATATTTTTTTGTTTAGAAGTTTAGAAGTTTATTGAGCAGGGACAAATACATTGTACATTGTTTCATATAAAATATAAAATAGATGCCATGCATACAGGTTTCTAGTCAAGACTAGCATTTGCACCTTGAATTTATTTTGCACAAAGATGTAAAAATATCCGTCATCTTTCCTGCTGTAATGTTTACAGCTGTCAGTCTGCACAGTTAGTGTAGAAGTTTAGTGGTTGGGTATGAAGGCGCAGAGATGAGTGACAGCAGGACTTTCACACATTTCATCTGAAGACATCACACCGAGGTTTTAGAAGACAGGAGACCCTGATCAATAAAGTAGAGCTGAACTATGGAAGCTATAGACACACCACTGGGCCTTCCCCTCTCCAGGGACTTGGGGACACCAGTTTATCACTGTCAGAGAAAATACTTCAACGTGGATGTCCAGGTGCAGCACACAAAGTTCATGCAGACAGGTGAGACAAATGAAATGTGATCCACGCAGCAGAAGAAGGCCCAGAATAATTCAGCAGTGGATATAAAAATGGTAAAAATAAATTTCTATAGATGGTGACGGTGGCTTTATATTTAGTCTGAACGCTTAACAAGCACATTGAGCCTCAACGTCCCTCGTTATTTAGTACATTTGGACAACTGCAAAATACCAAATAACTTAACTCTCCTACCTTTCAAGGTATCAGCAAAATGTGAAACTCGTCGTAGCTCAACAGCTCGTTCTTAATACGTTTTTAACGCCGTTGCGGCTACTTGGGCTTCTTTGTTTGTCACATGTTGTTATGGAAACCACCGGAAGCCGTCGAAGCAACTCAAATCCGACGGGTCGCAGAATTTAGTGTAACACCTGTCAAAACCATCGGTCAAAACGGAAGTAAACAAATACGTTCTTCTTCTCCTTCTTCATCTTCGAGGCATTTATCACGACTAGAAGTTTTATTTAGGTTATAATCAAACGTTCAAAGCTGATTTTGCAATTCTAAAAGAGCAGTATTTTTGAATAAAAAAATATGCAATTCTTTATCAAATTTAATTTATTGTATTTTATTTTAAAAAATGTGAGTAAAATCAAACTAAAAGGAGGCAGACCAATTTATGTGAACTTAGTATTTACAGCTTGTTGTTTATTATTCAATGTTTAGAAGCCTAGCTGGATGTAGAGAGCACAGTTTATGGGAATTCAAATTTGCTCAAATTCCTTGTATGTGAAAACATATCTGGCCAATAAAGCTGGTTCTGATAGGCCTTCATCTAAAAAAAAGTGGGTTTATTGCTCTAATTTGTAGGCACTTTAACATTTCTTCAAGCTATAGCTATTTTAAAGGCAACATTCCTAATCAAACCGAAAGCCCTTTCTGCCAGTGACTCCTGCATTGCTAATCTCTATTATGTCAAGACCTGGGTTTCCTGTAAGAGAGTGACTTGCCTCCACTTATGCAGGAACACATGGCGAAGAGGAAGTGCATGGGGCAGCTCCAGGCTTCTGAGCTGGGATCAACTTCTTCACACATGGCACAAGGCTTGTTGAATGAATTCCCTTGAGTGACAAACAAAACATAACATCACTAGATCCTAGTAGGGTCAATAGATTTGTAGGGCCTAAATACTGTAGTAACCCATTGCTATTAATCATGGGCCACCTCAATCTGCTGCTCTCACATCGACCAGTCATTGACAAATCATCCAGTCCTTCAGCACCTTATTTTTGTGTGGACAGAAAAGTGCAGGGCATTCCATAGCAATCTGTAAAAACCTCTTTATCTCAACGGGGAACATACTTTGGAATTTAAGAATCGCCAAATGTCAGGAAAGTAAGGTGAATTACACGGGTTATACATTTTTGGCTGTCCACAATTTGACTTGATTAGGATTTACATAAAGGTTCCTATTCCACCTTAAGTCATGCATACAAATTTCCATCTGGTGATAATCACAATATTTACATGTCCAATGAGTTCAATATGTTTAACTGATTCTTAAATCACCAAGAAAACCCAAACATTAGGTGAAACTATTTCAGAAATGCATACTCCAAATACTTCCTCAGCACTGTGAAAGTCATGCATGTAATACATTTAAGTATTTGGCAAAAACATGAGCTATTCAGTAGACCGCATGTGCAGATAACCTATTCAAAAATGTCCAATTTTCTAAATTACATGAAATATAATCCAATACGTTTCCTTTTCTTGAACTGCTATAGTGAACACCCTTCAGTCTAAGACATGGCTTAGATAATGGTAAAAGAAAATCATTAGAAGAAGTGGTGCCAAAGCTCATGCACATGAGGCAAAACAGTTGCATCCTGAGTCCCACTGGGACAGCCACCCCCCCCTGCAATACATGACATCAAAAATATACATTTAGCCATTACAATACCACAAAAAAAGACTTGACACAAACCCAGGCCAAGCTCTCTGTCAGTAAAAGAACGCAGACTTGGAGATTGTCTACTTCGATGGAGAGCAGACGTTTAGGCTGAATAGACTCCACTGTGTACTGCTTCTGTTTCTGTGCTGCATCACTGCCACGCCAAAACCTGACGAGCTGGCTACTCTGCCCGAGTGTCTACCACCTCAAGCTAAACTGAGCAAGGAGTGACTCCGCAGAGACTTTTCACACTTTGCATTCCTGTTGAACCTATGCAGAACCCCGGGTTTGTTGTTTCCATTATGTAACCATGTGACGCGCTGCTTTTGAATGACTGGTCTTAAGTCATGTTGTTGGTCTGCAGAAGAATAAAGGCCCTGCATGCAAAAAGACTACTTTAAAACGTACAAAATATCTACAAAGGACTCAATGTGTGAGGTAAAATGTCCATGCTAGAATACTGGTTTAGTTTTCCATCTGTAAACTATTCTTTTTTTGCATTTTGCTGACTACAATAAAAGTAATCCATTTGTTTAAACCTTGTGAAAATATGGGGTGCTGGTGGTGCAGTGGTGAGCGTCCCAGGTTCGAATCTGACCTGTGGCTCCTTTCCCGCCTGTCATTCATCACTCTCTCTATTCCTGATTTCCAACTCTATTCACCGTCATATCTCTCCAAAAAGCCCCCAAAATCAAAAAACGTATGAAACATACATAGATCCAACTCATGTTTTATTTTTGCAGTAAGTGCTAGACATGCATAGGAAATCTAGGAGAATTCCAAGTCCTCTACTGTCCAGCTTTAATTTGCAGATGTGTTGATTTGATTGAAGAGTTTGTCCTTGATGACTTGTGACATCAGGCCATGAATGGCCTCGATGGTTGTCTTGCAGCTGCAACAAGCCACAGTGAAAACTGGAGGTTAGTTCAATGAATGCAGAGATGTTTAAACTACACTCACATCAGTACACTTTCACATACAGCACAGCACGTTGGTCAACTGAACTTATTTTAATGTGCTCTATAAATAAACTTTGACTTTACTACAGTTAATACTGTAGGAGGTGTTGATTCATTATTCATTTACAGTACAACGATTGTATCAGATATGGCTGACATTAGGATGAGTAACAGAGATTAGGATTAGATGCTCGTTTGGTTGGTTGAATCATAAACATTTGAATTATATTCCATGGAAACAATTCAATAATATTAAATGTTATAGTGCTGCAGGACTACTATTTTATTTTCCTGTTTGTAATCACACTCCTGGAATAAATGGAGGTTTAGAAATCTAAATAAACTACAGATCAAGAAATAAATCATTAGCAGATGGACAGATAATAAATCAGAAGATATTTTGATTATCTAATCATAATTTTAATACATCTCTGTTTTATATAGCTGTAACTTCATTTTTTTTACATTTTATTTAATTTACTTTGTCATTATTTTACATTTTTTCTATATTGTTTTTTTGTCGCTGTAAATCATTTAGAATAACATTTGGTCCATATGAAAGGTGTTATATAAATAAAACTGGATTGAAACTTGATTTATAGAAAAAGAATAGATTAATGGAAATACTTTGAAAATTCTAATTTGAAAAAAAATATTTTGCTGCCTTAAATAAAACATTTAATAAAAAAATATACATTTAATTCCATACAACAACAAAAAACTAGAAGCAATTGCCCCACATACCTGTGCCTAACTAGTACATTTAAAATATTTGTGTAAATGACCTGAGACTTCAAACCTTGTTTTGAAATATGGTTACGAAAACATCAGGACAAGAGATGATTAAAAAAACTAGGTTGAGTTGGTAAGTAATCTATGTCAGAATAACCAAACACACAGACGATAATAAAATCAATACTACAAACTACTTTCCAGTGCTTTCTGTAGAAGTGTGAAAGTAATTCAGAGCCAAGGAACTTACATTTAATGCCTAAAATATGTTAAGTTCAGGCTCAAGTTTTACTATACAGACCTTGTTTTCTGGAGAGAAAAAAAAAAGATGTACCTATCTCGCGTTGCTTTTGCCAGTTTGTCCTCAGACTTCCTGTCATGTGTGTCCAAGCCAAGCATGAAGCTTCCCCTTCCCAGCTGGGCCTCCGACTGCTCCAGCTTCTCTGACAGGTCAAATACCTGGCCTGTGGTGTAGTCCGAGTTCTGACCGTCCAATAAGCACACACACACACACACACACACACACACATAAACACCCATTCATGCACAATTTGCCAACAAAAGATAGATAACAGATTTCCCACAAAGAAAAAGAAACGTGCAGAATGGCAACAAATCTGTCTAACAAGCTGCAGGAACACTCAGTATCTCAAGGTGAATGAGAAGAAGTCGGGAAAAGTTTGCTTAAGGTGGGGCCGTGTTTTTAGTGGAAAAGGTAATTAAAACACAATGACACGGGGGCCCCTGACGAGGGTGACAGTGTAGCAACTGACAAAGCCTGTCACCCAGAGAGCAGCTTGTTCTTGACATGTAGTCAATTCATCTTCATCCAGAATGCCAAAGAGCTCACTGTTTGGATAAGCCTGATGCCTATTTAGACTATTTAGTCAAGCTCGGGACAGGGTGACTGCATCCACAATGGGAATTCACATGAGGGGCTTTCAATCTTTAGAATGAACTATGGGTGGAAAGAGATTCACGGTGAACCATGACATTATCTGTATCAGTGGAGTCGGGTACGACTTTAACATTTATCTCCCCTTGTTAAAACCCTTTAATTAAGCTTATTACTTCTATCAATAAACAAGGACTCCTGGCTAATACGCAGCAATACATCACAACATCACAAGCAGCTGACCACATGTCTGCATGAGTTATTGAGTAAAAATTAACCATTAATCAAAATGTCAAACAATTAGCACACCCACCCCTTCTTTTTATTACACTGCTTACTTACCGTGAGGAGACTTGAGGAACTTAAGGTATTGACCCAATATTTATTCCAAAGGAGTTCCAGTAGCTTTCTATCGAGGGAGGACTTGAAGTAAGTGACCTCCAAAGCATAATACCTAAATAAAAAGAATCAAAGGCAAAACATAAGTATGGTACAAAAACAATTACTCATTATGAAAGTACCACAAATTAAACAAAAATATAAAAATATGTTTTGATACATGTTAGAGGTATTATTGTGACTTAGTGTGTTTATAAGGGATATATATATATATATATATATACATATACTCACTGTTTACAGTGAACACCAAAGTCTTCAATCTTGCTCAAGGGGATCGTCTGGTATTCTGACGGTCCCTCATCAGGAGGTTTGTAACCCTGAAAATCAAAAGAGGGAATAATTAGAAATAACAATAAAAAAATAATCTCTGTCACATAACCAGATCATTTCTAAACTACAAAAATACAAATATCATAGTACAACAATAAAAACTACAAGCATGACCAATAACAAGCACATAAATCGCTAAAAGCAAATCATTTTTGATTACTTTTACTACTATAAGTAAAGGAGGATCTGCACTATATGCGGTCTTCGCTGTACCTTTGGGTAGGTCCTGAAGGCGCCAAGGTTGACTTTCCCTGCTGAAATAGTCCGAGTCGGGTCGATCTGTACAGAGAAAGATACAGTAGAACAGGAAAGCAAAGTCAGGGGTCAAACCAACCTCGAGGGACTGCTCGAATCTGGCCACCAGGAGCCTTTTTCTACGGCTGTCACTGTACTGAAAATACACACTTAATTATACGCCGCCCATGGCATTAAAACCAAAGGCTCAGCCAAATGAAGTGTAAATAGCATATATGGTTGCAATAGCAAGATATTCATCATAACCGCATGGAAAGCTACAGTTTTTACATCAATAATCTTGCCCCCTTCTAAGTAACACACACATGCACTTGTATTGTCCTGGGGTGCAAAAAAAAAAAAAAAAAGGTGCAGCACGTAGCATGAAATAAAAACGATGACTTTATTCACTAACTTACCACAACTGCAACAAATGGCTCCTGAAACTGCTGGTTGAGCATCTGAGTGCTGACATCGATGCCTGAGAGCCAGCACCCATAGCCAGGGTGACTGTGGTACCAGCCAATAGCGTTCTCCAGCCGGCCGACCTGTGGGATTAAAGACACATTATTCAAGGCATGATATACAACCGTTACAGTAGAAAAAAACAGACACACTGAGAAGATCACATTTTGTGAAAATAGATTTCAAATATTATCATAGAGGTTACTATTTTATGAAGTGCATTATTTATTTTTTTTGAAGAAACATTTGACTTCAAACAACTGAATATTGGCAATAGAGGTAAAGTACACACACCTTGTAGTGGCCTTGTCAGAAAAAAATACAGGAATGAAGAATAATCTTATCCAAAACTCATGCATAAATAAATAAAAGTATTGGACAACAATGGTGTGTTAGTTGTGGGACATGAATAGCATTCCGCTTTCCCTGTATGTGCTATTAAATGTTGTGCGATCAATAAAGTGAAATAGTATAATACATGCAGTAATGTAAAGATGTGCAAGTAAATGTATGGTTAAAATACACAGTCCAATATATGGTTGGCCTAATTCAGTGGGTGATTCCCTTTTTAAGATAAACAGATAAAAAAAACATACGGGTAGAAAAAAAAAAACATACAAAGTAGAAGTAGGTTTTTGGGAAGGGTTGAATTATGCATAGAAAATGCAATATTACTTAAAAACAAAACTCAATGAACTGTTTGCATGAGGAGCTTGGTTTATCTTTTTCAACACATGAGAATTCAAGAGGTTCCCCCTTTAATAATAGAAGTCCAACCTGTTTGGCATTTTCGATATACGCAGCCATGTATTCGTAAGCTGCAGCCTGCGCGTTGACCCGGGTTTCTGTGCCCTCCACGGGCAAGGCGAAGCTGTCCATGATGATCATGGTTTCACCGTCCACCTTCCCCAACATGAGGCCCATCACCTCCAGGTTTCCACCGGACCTGGCATGCATTACCATCTTCAACAGGGCCAACGCTGAGATCTTGCAGTACTTGAAATAGTGATGACTATGAGTCGTAAGAAACACACATTCAAGGATGGTGTTAATGACTACATTTACGCACTGGATATTCACAACACTGTTCATGCAGGACTGCTGTTTACAAATAAACCAATGCTAGTTCAGTGAAGCTATCGAGGGTGTTCAAGACAAACGACAAAACAGCATACAACACCGATGATTTAGCTTTACAGCACTCCAAACAGGGACATCAAAAGCGTAATACGACATAAATGATCTATACTTACTCCTTTGTCCACGGCTTCGCAGCAAGGATTTCTTGTTGTTGCTTTTTGTCATATTTGTAAATTTCATCTATGCTCTGAACTTCCTGCATGCTGTTGGTTAGCTCCCATGTTTTCTGCGCTGTGCTGCTCCCCGCCATAATGAACAGAGACAATACAATGCAAAACAAAAAAAAAGCGAGTCGTTGAAATACCTAAGTTTCTGATCAAGAAAGCGAATTAATTTGAGGTTTTTACAAAGATGTTGACACCGTAACAGAGAAAAAAAGCCGTGTCAGTCAGGGGAGCCATGACAGTGGATCAAACCAATACACCAAAGTGCGAACGCAAAGGAGTGTTTATACTACTCGTGAAAAAAATTGCATTATATGTATGTTTTTATGGTGCGTGTAATGTCCTTCACTTAGTATACAATCAAAACAAGTCATTTTTATTCCACCTTAAAGCATTTTACCATAGTTACCATCTATATGAAAGTGCATCCCCCTCTGGCAGAATACATGGTGCAGTCCTGAGAAGACCTCAACCCCACCGCTGAGGACACACTGACACCTAGCGGCGCTTGTGAGAAACACATGCATTAAGACTTTCATGTCTTCTGCATTTGAGTCTAGAGGTGAATGCTAGAGCTAAGCTGGGCTAAGGCATTCGACAAGCTTCATTTCATTAATGCTTATTAAAACAATTATTTATTTTTCCTGCATGCAAAGGTTCAAAGGGCATCCAGTTGGTGCGTCTGTGTTAGTTCACTAATTTATGCTGCAGTTAGTACAATTAAAACATTTTCAACAGTCTACCAAGGTAAAATGCCATATTACCAAATACTTTATTTCCATAATAGAAATAGATAAGTTTTCTCTATTTTAAACTCTCGTGTTTCCTGGCTTCTCTCAGGAGAGCGTGTGTGTCACGGTTTCCCATAGCAACCCAATGATGCTTTTGCGCCATGTTGATCATTTTAGACATGAGCTAGTCAGATTTTGCTCTGTGAAGGTAAATCATCTAAATTATTCATCGTATCATATCTGATATTATGAGTAAATTCTGTGAACACGGTTAAGCTTTTTGAGCTTTGGAACAATTACCTGTAAAGACGAAGGTAGGTCATTTTTTAAGTTGCATGAGTAGGAAACTCCAAATATTCATTGAGGTCGGGTGAACTATTCATATTCATATTGCAAGTCTCGGAGTATGAGGATATCAATGCGAGGTTGACTAGTTTTTATTGAAGATAAAATATATTAGATGGTTTACAGTAATGTGTAAATGTTTATAGTAGAGGGCTGGTAATACAATCAACATTGGTGGACATGCCTCCAGCATCAGCAGCACAAGGAATTTCACCGAATGCAGGTATTGTACAAGTACGGATATTTTCTTTGCCGTAAAGTACAAAATATTATAGTTTATGTTCAATTTATTGTTTTAACTCTGCAGGTTATGACTTAAGTTGGCTGCTGGGAACTGACTATGAAAGGAGGAAAAATAAACTACAGCAGGAGCTTCAACTGGACTACAAACAACATGTCGCCAAGGTCTGTTGATGTGCTCTGAAACAAGCTTTTAGAAGTTGAGACGTGTTTTATTTTTCTGACTCACCCTCCTGTCCTTTTTTTTTTTTTTTACTGTTCTCTATGTAGAAAAATGACCCGAAAGCTAGTGAACCTTGTCTGCAACCCCAGAGTCTCTCTTTACCTATTGCTGACAAAACATCAGTTCAGGTGAGCACAGTTCTGTGTGTGACAAAACGGGAAGCATGATTTTTTTCCATTTGGATTTGTTTTACTGCAGAGTTTTGATACGAAGAGTTGATTGTGCAGGGCTTGTTTCTCCTGGCAACAGCACTGCATTTAAAAGGGCTTGTTGGACAATTAAAGCTAACACACAACAATCCAGTGTGAGTCATGTGGTGTTTGTGTGGCCCAGTGGCCTAATGGATAAGGCATCAGCCTCCGGAGCTGGGGATTGTGGGTTCAAGTCCCACCTGGGTCGCTTTGATATCATCCAATCATTGCAGATGATTAATGTTTATGAAGGATCACCAATTGGTGAGCTAATGCTAAGAAAATCCAATAGTCCATTATGTGTAAATACAGTGATCAATACAATGCACTGTACTGTAAAATTACCAGATACCTTTGTGAGAGATAAACTCAGCTAACAAACAAAATAATCTTCCGCATAAAGGATTTAATTAGGTGATCAAGTATGCACTTACTCTGAACTTGCAATAAGGTGTCTGTAATCAAATGGTGAGCCACTGCATGTTGCTGGTGCAGTATATTAAGTGCTATCTCATTGGAAATAATGGAAAACATCACTTTGAATGTATTCCTCACAGGAAAAACTACGTGAGGAGAGGAATAAAGAATACAACCTATTCCTACAGAAACAAGATCCAAACAGAAGGTTAAGACGGGGTGCACCTGCTGCTACAGAGGTAATAAGAGCAACCAATGAACACCACAAGCATGTGATAGTTGTTGTTTTTTTGAAAATAGCAAAACATGCTGCGCTCCCACTAAACAGGTTTTGCTAAATGGTTTTCTTATGTGCTGTGAAACTTTCAAAGATTACAAGTTTAAACACATATTTTCACATTTACATTTTTGTACATTTTCCCTTTCAGCCTGAACATTGTCAACCTTCAGGTGCTGTGTGCATTTCCTCTCCAGCACATCGCTTTCCGACCCCAGACACGCATAAAAGTGATCACCATGCCCCTGGGAGCGCCCGGCATACAGGAGAGATGCTGCTACTCTCACTGATGCAGTGGAAGGTGGAAAAAGGACAGGGACTTGGGCTCCGGTCCATCGGGGGCGAAAGCGGTGGCAAATCATTCAAACAAATGAGCCTTATAAATCTGAGGAAGAGCTGAACACGGACAAGGAGGAGGCGTTCAAACACAGAAGGAGGCATGACACACACACTCCAGAGCCTGAATACAAAGAGGAGAGGAGGAGCAGAGAACGCAGAGCTAACAGGTGTAGCTTTTTTTCTGTAGTATAACTTTTTTCTTCTTCTGTAGATCCATACACAGAAGATTACATATATATAACAACCTTTGCCACCTGACATATCTATTTTAATGGCAGAGCTCCTCAGGACATCAAGGAGGTGTGGGCCCCTAGTGGTACTGACCAGAGTGACGATGACTTGTTTGGGAAGTCAGAGTAAGCCAAGATAAATTTCTATGTTGACAGCATTGACTGTAAATATTAAGGTTGACAATAATGAGATCAGTACTGCTTAAAGAATGAATCTTATTAGTTACAGTATTCACTCACAGAGCTGGAAAGTCAATAACATCCTCCTGGAGAGTGACATTAATATTCTCAATCAATAAAGAAATCTGAGTGAATGAGTCAACACGAGGCAGGTATTGATAATTGCTGCCATGAGAAGTCATTGCTCTCCAGCACTCCCCTCTTTCGTTGTTTCATGCCACTAAGTTGAACCTCACTGAGGAAGCTGTTATGCTTTGAGCAGTGATTGAGGGTGAGTGTTGGCCCAGCTCCAGGCAAACACTTACTCAGCCCAGTTTTATCTCAGGACTTGGATTGATTCCAGTATGAAGCTTCACTCCCTGTGTCCAGAAAGCTGTGCAAGCAAACTAGGAAACTGTGTGTGATGTAACACCGTAGCTAGGTGTGGCTCAGGGGAACTGATAGCTGTGCTGTTAACCTTATATCCTGTCTGTAATTGGATGAGTCTTGTGGAGTGTCAGGATCTGTCTATTCTGTGTTAAATAGTCTGAAAACGCCAGACAAAATGAGGACTGCTGCAAGATCAAGACCTGCTATCAGCCAGGATAAAGCAGAGTTCGCTACGGGACTAATAATAGGTGAATACACTTGTTATTGCATGATGATTTTGTGCATTTATTAATGGAATTTGCCAGTTGAAATCTATCTGTTTTCATAAAGGAGCAACAGAGGAGCAGACAGTCTCTCAGCTGAGGAAAGAACAATATAAACAAGAGCTGCTGAAACAAATTGCAGAACAGAGGAGGAACAAGATCAGGTGAGTTTTAATTCAAGGAATCAACATTTGAAGGTTTTCCAGCTGGCACATCCCAGAGATTCAACAAGACAAGTGATGGGATGTTTTTTTTTTTTTTTCCCAGGGAGAAGGAGCTTGAGCTAAGGGTTGCTGCCACTGGAGCCACAGACCCTGAGAAAGAGGTAGAAAAGGACGGCAAAGACCTGGATGTGATTCTCTAACAGTGCCATCTTTGGCTAAATAAGAACTCATCACGTGTATCTTGCCTGCACTAGCTGCTATATTTTTCATCCAGTAGTTACTTGACAAAGTTTAATAGAAACAACTTAACGAAGTAAACGCATCTCACATTTAAACGATTTAATACTTTCATATAGACAATTTATTTCACTTTACATCATCTTGAACAGCTTTCTTCTTTCTTTTGCATGTTGGATATACTCTTACAGCCTGACAGAATTAAGCAGTTTGGGGCTGTAAATCTGCATGATGACAGGTGGACACAAGATATCTCCAAAAAGCCTGGAATAGACCTGGAATCCACAGAAAAGGATCCACATTCACAGCCTAAAAATCATAAAGCCACTGAGGGCCCAGAGCAGAATACTCCCAGAGGAATGTCCCATGTGGACTACAACAAAGCTCTCAGTCAACTGACAGGGACGACTTTGCCTGAGTCAGGTACAAGGGCAGCACAAGGTGTCCCTTCATTCAACTACTTTAATGAGGACTACCACAGGTACTTTTCAAATATGCTGGGAGAAGCGGCCATGCAGAGGTAGCTAACATTTATGTTCCTTTGCATGATTAACTATAATAGATCTGCTGTGAGTTCATTCAAATTATTGTGCTTTTTTTCCCCAGGGTTCCTGCTGTTCCTCCTCCTGACCCTCCCACTGTAACAAATCATTACAAGACTCCATACGATGCAGCTTATTACTACTATGGCACCAGGAATCCATTAGATCCTAATCTTCCTTACTATCAGAGTAGAGTATCACACCCATCTTCTGTTAAAGTTTGCTTTTGTGACTTTGTCTTTGAATACAAATCATGTAATCTTTGCTTTATTGCTAACCATAGTAATTAAAAGGATTTTCCAAAAACAGGCAGCAGTAATGTCAGTTATGTAGGGGACACTTGTATGCTGTGTCCAACGTCCTCACAGTCCTAAACTGACTTGCAGATTCTACAGTAGCAGTTTCAGTTTAGAGTGCAGTAAATCATGTTGGATTAAATACGCTAACAGAACCATTTGCTATGGAGCCACTTTATGGCCATATGAATGGCTAAAAAAGACTCGTCATAGAAATGTATTCGTCAAAACTTACAGCAGAACTGATCATTTCAAAAGTCCAGGGCACGCCCATCTTATGCCCAATACCAGCTGGGATTGGCTCCAGCCCCCCATTACCCCAAATAGGAGAGATAAGGAGTATGGGTAGTGGATGGATATTTTTATTACTATAGGAGGCTTTACAGTTTATTGCAAATGAGTTCACCTGATCCAGCAACCGATCAATTTCATTTTATGATGGGCCTGCTTGGTTTCATTTATTTCCTTTCCATTTAGATTTTTGTGAGCGCAAACATTTTAGTGCTGCATTTATAGATGCAGCAGATAGCAAATAAATGCAGCCAATCGCTTTTAATGTTGTTTTATTTATTATCATACATTCTTTTAAGATGGTACACCTGGACGGGAGCAGCAGTCTGGGAATTTCTACAGTCCTCCTCAAATGCAACCTCCTCTCAGACCCACCAAGTCAGTGCCCTTCTAACCACCTTACTTCTTTAAGTTAGAGTGTGATAGATGTATTTCAGTCAGTCAGTCAGTCAGTCCTTCCTGTGCACCTGCCTCTTTCATTTATCATGTGATCTCCTTGCTTGTAGAGCACCTGATCAGCGCAGAGAAACCTCCCTGAATGTAGGAGAGGTTCTGGCAGAGAACTCCAAGCAGAGGAGAGAGAGCGTTCAAAGCTACCAAGAAGCACTCAACAGCAGGTATGACATCTGACACACATCATCAGATTGCATGTGCAGACCAAATGCTTTTTAGAGCAAAAAATACATTTACAAAGCTTTGATGACAGTTAGTGACAAACAAGGGACATGGGCTTTGGTTTAAGCAATGGCTTAACAAGCTGACAAACAGACTTTAACTCAGACTTTTGAAAAAGCATGTCTTGCTTGTGTCCAGATCAAAGAAAGAGAAGAGCGCAGAAGAAGAGAGAAAGAAGAGAAGGAGCGTTACGATGCCAAAATAGAGGCTGAGTTGATGGCACACAATCCGTGGGGGAGAAGTGGTGGAGGAGCTCCACTCAAAGACCAGAACGGTAATCTTATCAGTGAGTTGCTTTTTTCTCTGCTTTAATGAGGCCTGCCAAACCTAAGATGTTTTAATAATGAATTGTGATAAATACTTATAGTGCTACCTATAAATGTTTCCATGCTCCCAGGCAACCTGGCTCAAATGCACAGGGCCAATGAGGAGTCATATAGGAATCCTGTATCCAGGAATAGTGGACATACACAAAGCTCTCCTCGAGGTGAAGCCAAGGAGCCTCTTTCCCATCGACTGTCAGGTATAGTGATCAGTCCCTGCAGATGAATGTGCCAAAGTTGTGTGAGAGTTCTGTAAACCATGCTCCTCTTTAAAGATAAAAAAAAACTTTGTTTATCTTTGTCCTGGCAGGATTCAGTGAGGTCATATACAAAGACGAGCTGAAAAAACAAGTAAGTGCTGGGCGACAGCGTTCAGTCTGAGCGACAATCTGCCTGCGGTGCATTAATCAAACAAAGTGTTTTTTATTTTTATTTTCATCACAATACTTAATCATTATCAACATGAGGAAAAACAAAACAGAGAAGAGAACGGATGAGAGGGACAAAAGAAGAAAAAGACTAGAGATCAACGGGCTGCAACAGCGAATATGAGACAAGAGGCAAAAAAGGCAGGGGGACTTTTTTTTTTTTAATTATGTGTCACATTTGCTCGTCTATCTGCAGAGAGCGCCATCTCCTCCCATCCCAACCTTACGGAAGAAGGAGACATATCCTGAGGCATCCAGACCCTCCTCTGTAATGAGCCAACTCTCCTCCCGGACTGTATGTCACAAAAAAAACAGATTTCTTTTTAAACATCAAGGCTGTTCATTTGTACATGTAGAGTATAAAATTGCTCACATTTCTCATTACAGGAATGCCCTGTGTCTTTACCAAGCAACCAAGATGCCCCTGAAAAAATGCCCCAGCTAGAAGGTAAGACTGTCTTGCCTTATCTGCATGTAACCTCATACATAACACATCTAATCTATTGAATGTCCCCTATGCTTGGTTCAGATGGCCGGCAGGAAGTGATCAGAGAGCTGTCAGCCATCCGTAGGTATCTGTGGAAAGAGCAGATACAACTGGAGGCTCAGCTGGGCAAGACAAATTCACAGAACAGTAACTACGCTCCCCCCAGCAGGTATTAAACTTACACACCCCGAGCAGCAGGGGTAATAATTTGCATGGGTAGCATGCTCAGAATAAATTAAATTCTATCATTTTCTTCCTTTCTTAAAAAATGCATTTAGTGAACTTATTAGAAGTGCTCTACCCCTGAAGGTTTAAATTCTCCTAATACAGCCACTGATACATGAAGGTGAAGACACAATACTAATCCGTTCTCGGTTAACAGCAAATTTGATTTGCTATTAGTATTTAAGGACAGTTTCTTGTGCTCTGAGCTAATGGAAGTGACACAGGTCATATTGGCTGTCCTCTAATCTCCATTCCAAATTTGTTTCAGGGACTCGTTACTGCTGTGATGTAACACGACGCTATGATCCTCGAAGGGACATTTTCTTTTTACATTAGAACACCAGTCTTGCTCATCAGTATTTCAGCATGACTTATTCTGATCAATCAGAAAAAAAACAGATGATAAAGTATGTTACTAAAAGCCCTGCTCCCCTTAAAAGAAGGCATCCATTTCCTACAAGCTCCTATTAAAGTGTCTGCTTCTATTGAAATAAGTTTTTTTGCAAATCATCAGAGGAATGGCTTTAAACTGCTGCCAGTTTCACAGCTTTCAGTTTCTTCCAATATAAGCTGCTTACACAGATGCCTCAAGCTTTATGCCTCATGGAAGCTTTTGTAAATGCTTAGCACACACAAACCAGGTGTTATATCCTTGGTCTTTTAAAACAATGCTCGTGTATATATCCTTCTGAAATGACTAATGGCTGAGGCTTTTAATCGAGAAGAAATGAAAACCTTCGTCATTGAGCAAAACTATACAGCATGAGAGAAAGTTTGTCTGAGTGCTAATGTTGGCTTCTCCTCTTGGCTCAGGCCCAGAGGACGACCCAGAGTGGGTGCTTTTGAATGGTCACCCAGGCAAGCTGCTCTACCACCAACCAGGAGTCCTTCTTCTGGTGCTGCACTAGTTAATATGCAAAATATCAGGGAGTTCAACCAGCTTAAATACAGAGGTAACAACTGAGACGTTAACTGATTGAAAAGTGGTTTTCATTTGACTTATGCACTTTGTACTCTGTATGACTAATGGCTGAGGCTTTTAATCGAGAAGAAATGAAAACCTTCGTCATTGAGCAAAACTATACAGCATGAGAGAAAGTTTGTCTGAGTGCTAATGTTGGCTTCTCCTCTTGGCTCAGGCCCAGAGGACGACCAGAGTGGGTGCTTTTGAATGGTCACCCAGGCAAGCTGCTCTACCACCAACCAGGAGTCCTTCTTCTGGTGCTGCACTAGTTAATATGCAAAATATCAGGGAGTTCAACCAGCTTAAATACAGAGGTAACAACTGAGACGTTAACTGATTGAAAAGTGGTTTTTATTTGACTTATGCACTTTGTACTCTGTATGCTCCAAGTGTTCCCTGGACTGCAGCATCATGAGCAGTGAGCATCTGACTGCCTGTGAGTTAGTAGAGGTCACAGCGCTTTCCCAGCTACAGAAAAGGTCACACAATGCACTGCAGGAAAAAGGTTTTGGCTACTTTTTTTTGTGAAGGAGAAATTGCCTCTTCAATTACTTCAATCACCTAAATAAAAGTGATGAACTGAAAATCATCCTTTCATGTCAAATCAGTTCATTCCATTTAGCTGAAACCAATTGGGCATGGCTTACTCTGTTTACACTGAACCCACCACATTTTCCAGCCTTTTAGAAAGTGGTTGAAAAAGCCCTCCTGTAATAGCCTCAGTCACGGTGTAGTCTTAAGGGCATGATAAGGACGAGGATCACTGGTTTGGACTTTTTAGAGCATCACCAGTCCTCTGTCTCTGCCTCTAGCTACACTGAAAGCCTCACTTTAATCTTGTGAGGTCATGGGAGGCCTCAATCAGCAACAGGCCTTTTGGCAGCAACAACTGAGAATTTACTGCAAGCGACCAAGGAAATGGCTTTGGATGGTTTCCCAGAAAGTTTCTGCAGGGGTCTGAAAACTCAGTTCCAGCTTGTTAAACCAACAAATAAGACGAAATGCTACTTTGTGACCAATTAACAGAATCACTTCTCAAACTTCCACATAAATATTATGGATTAATGCCAACCTTAAATCTGAAAGCTGCATTAGATTCATATTTAACATTCAAACTGCTGTTTCAGGGGCGCCGTATAGCCAGAGGTTATGCCGTGCCTTGTACATAGGCTATAGTCCTTACTCTCTCCCCCCAACATTTTCTGTCTTTCTTCAACTGTCCTTTCCAATAAAATGTAAAAAAATGCCCAAAAAATAAAATCAAGAAAGTGGAGGAAAGGAGAGAAATAAGTCCTCTAAAAAGTATAAAACATATTTTCTCCTAATGTCAGCCTAGTGTGTTCACCTGATTATACGTTACTGATCTTCATAATTGGGATTATGAACTGTTAATGCTGAAAGATCCTTCATTTTTCAGACACAGAATCTAGTGAGGGGGTCTGTCACATGTACCCTGACCCACCCACTGATGCACAAAGTCTCGACATCCAGCAGCAGGCACTTCTTCGAGAACAACAGCACAAAATCAGGCGTATGAAGAGAGAGGAGGAGCATGGTCGGTGAGCAGACATGGCAAAATTCTCCTCAGCATTTGACCTTTTTAACTCATTACTTTGTGCCTTGATACAGACTTTTGGGACCAAGAACTGAACACCTTTCATGCTGTAAGTGGCCTTGACTTTATAAATATGCATTATTATAATGACCAGCTAGTTTTAACATCCAAGCATTGTTTGCATTTCCGAAGGGAGAGTGTTTAATTTGTGTGTTTTCTTAGAGGAACAAACCTGGACGCTTCATCCACAGAGACTCCATATTACCATCTCAAAGTGCTTTTATTGGTAAGCCAAGCTAAACACATAGTGTTTGTAAAGACTGCCTCTGTTCTTATCCTATTACAAGTATGAAGAGTGTTAACATCATTGGGGACACAGTGTGCTTTTGGGCTTTTTTTCTAAGGCGTCATTTTCTACAAAGGCTACATGGCTTGGGAGGTCTGCTACATACACAGTCACAATACCACACCAGTACAGCCACTCTGCCAGGCTAATTTAGCTCTTTGTGTGCATGCCAGGATAAAAGGAGCAGATGCCAGCTCTGGTCTCTGTGTTGCAGCTGTCGCCAGTGCTGGGCACAAGGCTCACAGGCCAGCTGCAGGGTGGTGATAGAGCAGTGCCAGCCACTGGGAGAGGGGGGCAGCAGAGACAGTTTTAGAAAGCATGGTGTAAGAGAGGACGCTTTTGAAGAGTTTACCCCTCTCCTTTTCCATCCCACGGCTTTCATATGAAATATTTTACCACGTGGACTGTTCTTTTGTTTGCCTTCATTTGACACTTTCAGTTTCCCCATGTCCCTAATCTCTGTCATGCATTTGTCAGATGTTTACAGCGGAGATGCGAGTGACGATCAGGTTCATCAGCAAAGACAACAAAGAGAGGGGACAGCAACACGCCGGAGACATGACTATGATGTACGGTGCTGATCAGTGAAGTCTGACTCACCACGACACAGTGGGATCTCTTAAAATACTGCATTCAACAAGTTCCATTAGCTAATTATGGTCAATCAGTTCCTTCTGATCTCTTTCGTTTTGTTCAGGAGACGACTGAGTCCTTGGATCAGAGGGAGCGTCTCGCTGGTGATCACACCACCAGATCAGGTTAGAAGAAACTTGTTGTACATCAGAGGTTTTAAATAAGCAGCATGCTAATAACACAAAAAAAACACTTCATACATCTTTTGTAAATTAGAAGATAATTAGGCTAATTTAACTTCAAATTGATGCTGGCTGTCAAACTAACGCTTCACTTTTCCTCATGGATTTCTGTCACAGATGACATGGATGTTCATTTTTTTTTTGAGAATCATTACAAAATAGTTTTAACACAAAATTGTAGAACGGTCACCGTAAAAATATACATATTTGCAGAATTTAAAGCATCCTTTCATGTCTTAAAAATGTGTGATGGATGACCTTCTGTACCCTCCAGAGTGGCTGTCTGGTGATGAAGCAGATGTCTTATCTCTGCGCTCTGCTCTGGAGAGGGGCGAATCCGTGGCGACTGTTGCCACAGAGCCCTGGCTGCGACCTGGCACCCCGGATGATGCGACACACACAGGCTGCAGAGAGAGGCACAACAGCAGGATGGATACTCCACCCTGGCTGACAAACCGCATCACATAACTTCCATCGGATGGTGTCTTAACATTAGAAAATGCATTGCGCTGGAGTAGTTCTTATTTTCTCTGGATGTTTTCAGCGGATGTCTGTGAACAAATGTTGGAATAGGCTGGATGATGTAGCCTCAACAGCTTGTAAGAGAGCAGATTCTGCCTGTAGAAATGTTGGATGTTTGGCCAATTTCTCTCAGCATGAGAAGTGCACTTTGATCCCCATAGATTAGATTTAGCTCTAAATGTAAACATACATTACCTATGCATGTTAATGAAGACCTTTAAATGATACCCTTTATTTTATTAAATAATAACGTTCATATTTAATTTTGTCCTGGGTCATTATTGATGGAGATCATGAAACAGATTAGTCATTTAGAAGTCAGCCATTCATCTTTTCAAATCAAGTTCAAAAACTTTATTGACCTAGAACCTGATTAGAATGCCAGATGATGTTTTGTACAGAAAGTTGTACATAATCTTTTTTGCAACATAGAAAACTTTACATTGCTGTATCATATACATTTTGATTTTCTACATCCATGAGCAGGAATGCATCCCATTCATACTTAAAGCACAGCTAACTTTTCTCATTTTTCTCTATACATATAACTTTCCCCCAAACAAAAAACAAAACAAACATTAAATATATTATTAACTTTTGATTTGTACACATGAGTGAAAACTAAACATAAAAACAGACTAGTGACTCACAAGCAGCTAGAATCAGGTCGCTCTCTTACCTTCCAGTTATCATTTACTGTATCTCCTTTTAAAAACATAAGAACATATAAAATGGAATAATTTAACCCTTCAATTTGCGCGGTCTTCTTCAATGACAAATCATACTGTGTCGGACAATCTGCAGGAGATGGTACAGTCAAATAAATTATCACAAAAGTCAAATCTCCAGTGCATTCAAAAAGAGATCAAGTGCAGCAAATCCAGAGGAGGAAAAAAAAATAAACAAAAATAAATGAAATCTAGTGTTATAAGATTATATTACATAGCGGCAGATCTGTACAACTAGTTTCATCCGAGAGGCTATCGATGCTAATGTTAGCCATCTGCTGTGCAGACAGAAAGATCATTTCTAACAATGTGTGTCATTTCATAGTAACTGAATATGTCCTTTCGTTGCAAGCTTTTCAAACCTTTCTTGACTTTTTAAATATACAGTAAGAAGCACAAACATGTTTCCTTCTGAGGAGATCAGATATGATAACTGTCAGTTGTTTATCAGTAGTTTTATCCAGTAGGCATCGCTACACCTTTAACAAGATCACACTGTTTTCATTGTGATATCATGTACTCTGTCTGGGTTGTTAGTGTGTACGTGTTTGTGTGTGTGTATCTGCTGACGGGGTTAAGGGTGCAGGTGGGTAGTACAAACTAGCCAATCTGAAATCAGCTACGTAAATCGGGGTTTTTCAGAATAAACCACATGGAGGGACCTGCTCAGATCTGAGGTGGTGGCTTCAGGTGAGCTCTATGTTCCAGGCCGTCTGTGGCGCAGCATCACTGGGCCTTCTCTCCAGCCTCCTCGTTCACCTCCTGCTCGACATGTGCCAGCTGTGGGTCTGCTTCGGGCTCAGGTAGCTGTGCGATGTGAAACACTTGGCCAATACGCAGGAAAAACTTTCTCAGAACGGCCCGGAGCTCCGGGATCAGGTCGAACTGCATGATCTCACACAGCAGAGGGTAGTACCTGGATGCGTGGGCCTTAAACTGAAGGTGGAGGAGGGGGGGGGAGAGACAGAGAGAGGGTGAGGCAAAGACAGAGGCACACTTAGCCTGGTGCTACACAGAATAAAGCTCACTTTTAGGAAAATCCGTTTTTTTTTTAACGTTGATTCATTTTTGGTTATAGGGGGAAGATGGCATTTTTTTCCTGTTAACTTTTGATTCCTTCTTCCTGATTGTTATGTATATACACCCTGAAGCAAACATAACTGGGGTTTAGTTAACTGCTCTTCTGAAGGCCATATTCAAGTGCAGCAGGGCCAAGCATTCATATTGCTTATGTATTTCCTCTGAAACTAGGAATTTAAACTTACTTACAAAGCATCTTTTCAATCTAATAAGGGTATTTTTCAATAAACACTATAGTGGTTTTACACCTCTTTATTGGTTTTCCCCTGAATCCCATCTGATTAAAAAGCCTGAGTTAGAGCTTGAGAATATTTTAGTGCTTTCCAACAGATCTAATTAATGAAAGAGATAAAGACACTCACAATAAGTTAGTGATCTTTCAATAACCAAATAAAGTGTACTGATGAATGATAACGCGTATCAATGATGTGAGTACTGTTTTCATCAACACTATGAAAGGTAACTTCTCCTATTGTATGAATTTAATTGAAAACACACACACACTGATATTTCTTTTTCATATTAATTGTATTTTATAAATGATCAAAACAAACCTGGTCGAGGTAAATTAAAGGCTTGTTTGGCCAATTAATTAGGTTTACTTCTAAAGTGTTTAGATGAAGAAAATAATGACATCTCTTATTCTTGGACATCAAACATTGTTTTTTTAACGTGCGTGCCTGGGGTTCTGCCCAGCCAGTAGAGGTGTCGTGAAGTGTTTCAGCTCCTCACCCTTTCGTCGCTGATCTTCAGCACCTTGGTGAGGAAGAGCAGCAGCAGGTTGGTCCAGGCCTCTCTGTGGCTCTCTGAGGTCAGAGCCAAGAAGTACGCTACAGCCTCACTGCATACACTGCAGGAGAGGAACATGCAGAAAGAAGCTATTTAGAAATGTCAGTAAATGAACATTGAACGCACAAGAAACAAAAACTTTTAAACACAGAATTAAAAATACATCCACTTAAGAGCCTCATTATTCTGTGACCTATAGCTGCAACAAAGCATCTGCCTCCCTGCTTTGTTTAGCAAATACAAACTCACCCGTATCGTGATGATGATAATAACGGTTTTGGCTCAGTAACTGCTAATTAAAGCCGCTGACTGAGGCTATAACAAACATAATTAAAACATTTATTCCTCACAGTTTGAGCTGGAAGACAACAGATGCAACCTCTGATCCATCTCCACCGACCCTGAGGCCCTCCTTTGACCTCACCAAAATCTGCTTTTGCACCCTGCACTAATCAACCCTGGCACAGAGTCTCGGATAAAGTGTGTGTGTATGTCCAAGTGTGTGTGTGTGTTATTTAAAAATAAATGTGTGCCTTTTTTCCTCATGGATGACAGGATGACATATGCTTGAGAAAAAAAAAAGGAAAGACAAACAAGCATCATGACACATAATGTCTCCATTAAAAAAGATTTCTGTGCTAATTGCATGATGCAGGCACTTCCTCCACCTCCACCTCCTTCTCTCTTCTCTCTAATAATGAATGCAAGCAGCAAAGATAGCCAATTGTTCAGCTTAATCTTGGTATCATCATCAATTCCAGGGTGAGGCTGCTGGAAGACAAAGGGGATGACGGCTGAATAAAAACGCTGCGATGACAGCAGTGCCGACTGAACAATAAAACATCAGAGTGATCATTCCTTTGGATCTCTACAGCACACAACGTCAGTTTCAAAGAGCTGCCGAGCTGTGCACGCTGTGTGTTGATAGTGACATCAAATCAAACTCCTCCCGCTCCTGTCCTCACACTGTATTCTTCTTCCTCTGAGGTCGGCACTGACAGTTCTGCCCGAGGAAGTGTGATTTCTATATTAACACATCGGAGAGAGAGAGTGATGGCGAATGTGTGAGAGACGTGTTGGCCTAACCGTAGTTGAACGAGAAAAAAATGCCTCTTAGCTCAGAGAACATATTCATGTGCTGACACGCACATACAGACTAAGGGGGGGGAGTGAACTAATAGACCAGAATTAGTTTTGCAGCCAATTGGCAAAAACATGCTTGATAAGGTGTTGATTGATTCTGCAGCATTTTTGTAAAAGGGAGAATAGAATTATCTGAAACATCTTCTATAACTTCAAACTGCCCTCAGGATTATTCAAATTATCTTTTTATTGCAGTTTTCTTCTTTCTTCCAAAAGTTATCAAGCATCATAAATAAAAATGTACAAACTCACTCTACCCCCATGCACCACTTTACGTATTCAGTCAATTTAAACGTTCACATTCAAGTGAGGTTCTGTTCAGGCACATTGAACAGAAACCATTTTCAAAACTGTTTCTGCCATTCAATCTTTTTATAATAAGAAATATGAATACTTTAATGGGAAGCACTTTTTTAATAGAGGTAACAAATTGAAAGAAAAGACAGAATAGTGTACTCTAAGAAGATGATCAGTTATCAGGTGAGAATGCAGATGGCATCACTAGTGGGATCAAATAAGCCAGACTGAAACAATCAAAAAAAAGATATGGATCATTAGTTTAACCTGTTAAAGGAGTTTACACTTGCTAATCCTGTGAATGTGGAGGTGACTGATAAATGATCCACTGTGCACTTCAGTCATTTTCTGTGGGCTGATTGTGGTAGTCATGTGGAGACTGTGAGTTTAATGTGATCACGGGTGTCCGAACGATATGGAAAGAAGGTTATCTCTGTTTACAAATGATTGTTTTCTCATTTCATTTTGGGGAATTCGGACAGGATGACACGTAGAAAACAGTCCTGGTGGGATAAAAAACCTGAGCTAATGCGATCAGAACTCAACCTTAATGTGCACTCCACTAGGGCACTTAATGGGGCATCTACAAATCATAATGTGCATCAATGGAGACAGCTGAGTCGGCATAATTCTCAGGGTCCATTACTGCTAAAGGATCAGCTGGATATCAATGTGTGACGTGCATTTCTTACTTGAGCAGCCGTCTCTGGACCTCCTCCCAGGCGTCCTGCCGACTCTTGTCTGTGTACATGCGAAAAAGGATGCGCAAGCCGCACGCCAGGCTGCTGGTCTCCTGCTTTAACAGGTTGGGCTTCGACTTTCCTTTGAAACCTTGAATGAACACAAACATAAGGATACACACAGTTACAGACACTCACAGACCTTTTCAAATCTTTGCTTCATGATGTGTTATCCTCCACACTGCCCCAAGAAGCAACACTGCATGAGGACAAGTGCTAATCACAGACTAACTCCTAAATTCCACCAGATGTATGTTTGGTCTGTGTCATATAGGTTTCACTATATTCAATGTGTGTGCTTCCACTGGCTTCACCGCACTGCGTCTCAGCTCCAGCAGTCTTCTGCAGCAGATACCCAAGGCTTCTATTTTAGCTGGATGCCTGAACTGGTCGCATCAATTTGCAATACGGGCAAAGTGAGTGGGCCTGTGGATGTTGACCGGGAGCACGGAGCTGTACAGTAGCGGCGCCGACACACAACGCACAAGCATCTGGTGGAAGTCTTAGGTAGCCCAGCTTCTAGCTTCACAAACAGAAACACGAGACAAGCAGATGTGATTTTTTTTTTGCCCTACCTGCTTTCCACAGTAAGGTCCTCTGCTCGTTGTTTGAGTTGAAGGCCTTGGCGAAGCCGTGTGACTCCAGCAGGCAGTCAAATTCTCAGCATCTTCCTTCTTACTGGTGGCAGGAAAAAACACGATGTTATCAATCGTCTGGATGAGCTCGAGCTGCACCACACACTTTATCAGCAGAGAGGAGAATAAACGCTGCTCCTGGACCTCTGTGGGACAAACAGACAGATGTCCATCAGAGCGCACACACACACACACACACACACACACACACACACACACACACACACACACACACACACACACACACACACCACACACACACACACACACACACACACACACACACACACACACACACACACACCACACACAACACACACACACACACACACACACACACACACACACACACACACACACACACACACACACACACACACACACACACACACACACACACACACACACACACACACACACACACACACACACACACACACACACACACACACACACACACAGTCGGAGTCAGTCTTTCAGTAGAGTGGCACGCCTACTTGTTGGGGTTCTGCTCCTGGAGCCGTCCTCTAACATGCCTGAGGCTGAGCTGAACTGACTCTGTCGACGACTCTCAGAAGCGACTCTGTCTGCACTGCTGATGGAGTGCTGGTCATCAGAGCGGGACTGAATATCCACTGACTTCTGGGAAATGGAGTCCTGCAAGGAGTGTGCAAAAAGTCACTGCAAGACTTTACATACAAAGTACTTCAAATTAGACAAACACAGTCTAAGAACATGGATTTGGTATAGGAAATAAACTGTGAACGATTTTTTTTTATCCCTTGCAATAAAATCTCAAAGAGATGTGATTTGCAAACAGAATGGAATAAATATGACAAAGAGCTTATGCTACCAAAATAAATGATTCTTTCACACTCAAACAGAAGAGTTGTGTTTTTCCTCACCAGCTGTTTGTCTGACAGGCTCTGTGTTGTCAAGTGTTCTCCCTCTGCTCCAGCTGGTCTCCATGTTAACAGCCTGAAAAACAGTTTACTCAGTGAATCACATTCAGTCCGGGACAGAATAACAAACCAATTACAACTTCCAGGCTAGAAAATCATGGGAGCTAGACAATCCATCATGCCTTACAAAGCCTGCATTTAGTCAAAGTCTTTGTTTGATAAATATTCAAAGTTCTATGTCAGTGCCATTAGAAAACAAATCTGGATCAATTTTACAATGTTCCATCAATTCTTACTTTAAAAGACTGTTTTCTTTCTTTGAAAAGAAGGTGGTAAAAAAAAGGTGAGGCAGCTTACGCATGTGGGATGGTAGTCTTGAAGATGTCCAGCATGCAGTTACATGTCTTGTCCCAGGTCTCTGGAGAGAATTTCTCTCCATTCAGGATGACCACATTCTCCAGACAGTTTGTGCCCGAACGGGCAAGCTGCTCATTATCTACAGGGGCACAGATGATGAGGAGGAGGAGGAATAGGGAAAGAAGACCAGCGAAGTGTTCATTAAAAGAGTTAAAAGGTATTAAGATTTTAAGTCTGCTAAGAATTCTGCTATACTTCAAAAATAACCCAAAAAAAGGACAAAAGATCATAGATTATCTGCTTAACCTTTGTCTTTTTATAAATGTGATGATGTGACAAAAGCTGAAAGAGGGAATCCCTTTTATTGTCACTGAAGCAGAGCTAAGAGCAATGCTAATGCTAGCAACACCCCTCATGCCTCTTATTATTTTGCCTGCCATAACCTACATCAAAAGCTAATCCCCTTTAACGTTTTTGTGTCAAAATCTTGACCCTAACACTGGACAGAAAAAAAAAACAACCAAAAAGATCTTTAGATCGAACGCAGCATTCTCACCTTGCTGCACACACCAGTAGAGCTGAGCCAGAATATCATCCAGCAGGACGTCACTGAGGGACTCAAAGTATTGAGTGAAGACATCGCAGATGGCATAAAGTGCATGGTTACAGGTTGTGGTCATCCACTCTGCTTTCTGAGGGTTCAAAACAAGCCGTGTTAGACATTTTTTAATCTACAGAAACTATAAAACAATACCACAGCTCGGACATTTATCTACAACAACTATTCATGCCCAATAGAATGGATGCTTGCTTAAAGTGAAGGCAATAATTTTAGAGAGCCCTCGACTAGCTGGCTTCAGTAAAGCTCGGGAAACCCAGCCTCTTCCATGCTTGCAGATAGGACATGGATCAAACTTTAAAACAAAAATACACGTCAAATTCAAGTTTCTCAAACATGGCTTCTGTCATTAAAGTTTGCTTTATGACTTATTAATACCAAAGTGTTCATTTTTTCTGAGAGGAGTAGCTTAAATAAGTTATTTGATGCCATAAAAAGGGCTATGCTGCCATAGTAATGAATAATAATGTGGCCCTCTGCAGCGCTGTGTGTGCTGGATTGGATGGGTAGAGGTGGAACAGCAGGGGGAGTTGTACCAAACACACAAGAGTCATTGACCTTTCAATAACCATGTGTCCGCATCAAACAGACACAACCCCTCATCCAGCTTTTAGGCGTCACTTTGGTATAACAAATGGAGGTTGAGACATGTCGTCCATCTTTATATTCAGCCATTGCACTAAAACATCAGTAGTACTTTGAATTCCACACAGATACGAGGTAAGAAACAGCTGTTAAAGGTGACTTCATGTACCTCAGTCTGTTGTTCAGGCAGCTTCATGTTGTCAAAGATCCTGAAGACGATTCTGAATAGGTCTTGCCACCAATGTTTCTCAAAAGTGTGCCCGTATGTCTTCATCACTTCAAACATCACCGTCAGCCCCCTGGGAAAAACACACACACAGAATTGGCCTTTTCTTGTTGCTATAGCTGACATTTGCTTTTTTTTTACCACATGCTTTAAGTCTTTTTTTCTTGCCTTTGCTTGGATGTGCAACAAGAAAAAAAACGTGTTAAAATGTCTTTCTTTTAGCCTTTAATGATGCCAACCATCTAAGCCTATCAATACAAGGCTTAAAGTAAGTCCCTCCTACCTGGTCCTGACATCCAGCTTACACCTGTTGATGATGCAGGAGAGCTCGAAAAGGATGGGGAACCACCCCCGCACCCACACACGGTCCTCAGGCGCTACATTCATGTCATCACTGGTGTAATCTTTGAAGGCCTGCCAGAGAAATAAGAGCCACTGTACCATCTGCCTCAAGGGAGAATTTTCACTACTGAGCAATAATACACATTTCTATGAATGATATGAGTGTGTCTTATAAAGCAGGATACCCACACACAGTCTGTCATGCTCTCCTGATGCACAGATTCTCCTCTTAATGATGTAGAAAGCATTTGCCAAAGCCTTTCTCCAGACACATATATTCTGTCAACAATATTCACTCCCTATAAAAATGCGATGCCTAGTTTCACCACTTCTAATGTAGAACACTTTAAACCAAAGCAAGGCCTGGTACTGACCTGTGGCCTCTCTGACACGTATTTGGCGCAGTGTCGGATGAGACGGATGGCTTCCATGCTGGTGTCGGGGAAGGAGGCATTACAGGCGAACTCGGACAAACACTTAACGGCGTCCTGGAAGGAGTCGATGGTGGCCGCAAAGTGCTTTTCAAATACATTCGCTGGGAGACGGAGAGAGGGGGAAGAAGGCAGAATGACAGAGGGGTGAATGGAGGGGGACAGAGATTGATGAAGGGGAAAAGATTGGTAGAAATGTAAGCTGATGACAACGACAAAATGTCAAAAAACCCTTTAGAACTCAGCAATAGAACAGGATGGACCTCGTCTGTTCAGTTATTATGGCTGAGTGTGATATCATTTATTGGAGCCATTTCTAATGCATATCTTATTCATCAATTCTAAGTTATGTTACAGATAATTTAAGTTTAGAAGCATAAATTATGTATACAAGTTTTAAAAATGTGTCATAAATGAAAAACTAAAATCAAGAGCTAATTAAGTGAAGAATGAGCGAGAAGACATTTTTTGAGTTTCATTTGCAATAGAGAAAATACCTGAATTGAAGTTTTTGTTTATGGAGATGTCATATTAATATTCTTTTCTTCCAGTATTCTCAAATACAATATAACCTTTGAAGGTATTTATGCTATTAAAGTTATGTTATAGCTTTTTTTTTTAGATACATCTAAACTGTATTTTGAAACTAACTATTACCAATGGGAATGACTTCTTTGCACACACAAGTGAATGAAATGCAATTATCATAAACGATCACCCAACATGAGGGCAAGAGAGAAAGGAAGCCTCAACTTTTTTGCTGCGAAGGAAATGAGGGCTTTGGGTATCATTCATTTTACTTCACATAGATTTCAACATGTTCATACCACAAGCCGTCTCATGTGGCCACCCATGGGAGGTCTATTTCCAGAGGGGTTAGTTATTACATCCTTAAATCTCCGGTGTCTGTGTATTGTGGTTTTACTTACTGACGATGTGACCAGTGGTCTGGAAGGCCAGCTCTACAATGCTCTCATCCTGGTCAGAAGCAGCCAGGTGGAAGACGGAGAAGATGTTCTTCCAGCCTGAGCGGATGTTTGCCGCCTGGGAGTTAACCATTTGGGCTATACAGCGCACCACCATGTCTCTGATGGTGGGAGACCTGGAACGAAGAATAAAGGAGGAGGAGGACAACAGAAAAATTAGAAAAAAAAAGGGATGTAAAACCAAAGAGCAAAGGGCAGAAGCATAAACGAAGAAACACAAGAAAGAGACAAGAAGAAAAAATGATCCAAGATGTCGCTCGCCTGTGTACGACATAGCGCAGCTCTCTGAGTCAAGTATAAGAGTCAATCAATTAAAAGGAAGGAAATTCACCTCTTCATTGATGTCAATTATCCTAAAAAGCTTTTTAATATCATCCTCCATCTCATTCTTAGTCAGATTCATTCTTACAGCTTTGGCTTTTCTCTGCACGATAGGTTTTTACAGCAACTGTTGCCATAGTGAAGAGCTCTCCTAATTACTCTGTAGACATGAATGAGAGAAAAACTCTTCCTCCACTTAGCATTGCACACACACACACAGATAGACACACTAGCACAGAGGAGGGCAGCATGGGAGAGTCTAATGGACATACAGCGCTGCAGGGTTTACATGGCTGCCTGCCATGTCCTCTCAGCCTGTTCAATCAGTGGGCAGATTTATACGTACACTGCTACTCCTCTTTCACATGAATGAAAAAGGATGCTGCAGTTATACAGTTATCTTTTGACCTGCTGCATGCGTACATTTGCATGAGTCAAAATCACACTCATGTAAAAAGGATAGCTATTTGAATTCTGTGAAGATTGGCTAGGAAGGAGCAAGTGGAGATAAAGGCTGTTTCCATGAATACACTGAAAGGCGTAATGCAAACAGACTGAAATGGGTCAGTCAAATGTTTGCCTGTTGCTTTTCTGGGGGAAAACAAACAAACAACTGCTTACTCATGGTTTTAAAAAAGACAAAGAAGGAAGAGAGAAAGACAGAAAGAAGGAGGCAGACTGAACAAATGAGTTTCGACAGAGGTGGAGAGGCTGCAGCTATGAAAGAAACTGCTCAGAATTACAGTACTACAGCTTTACATTGTAGAGGAAACATTATTCAGAGATACTTGTCCTTTTACCTATTCTTTTTCATGATGTGCTCAAAAGGCCTAAGAAAGTCTTTCTGGAATCTAAAGTTGGCCAACTCTCCCTTCTCCAGGAATTTCATGGACAGCTGCCGGAGAGAGTCCACGGCAAAGATCGCCACATCTTCATTTGTGTTACAGCCAACCTGTATGGAAAGAAAAACACACTTCAGCAAAAGCACACCATTTTTTGAACAGTTCTTCTATGACACATTTCTTGAATGCAACAAATTCAAAAGTCAACTTTTGGCAGGTGTTTTATCTACTTTCTACATGATAAATGTAGGTCATGAGCATTACACACTCCAAACCCAGTTTGTAGCTACTCAAGGAAAAGCTTCAGTGAGACATTTTTCTTTGGATACTTTGCTCGTAAAAACTTTTCCCTAAAACTATTTTTGTCAGTGAGTGAAATCAGCCTTCAGTAAAACGGAAAGAGTGACAGAAATCAACACTTCTCTGCATCTCACTCAGGGCCAGATTCACAGAAGGAAGCACTTTTGGTGCCCACTAAACCTGTGAAAAAGAGAACACCGTCTAACACACAAAGCCCACACAAAGGGTTAAATGCACCCCTAAATGGGCTTCAGAGCAAATAGGGTCTTTGTGCCCATATTGTAATGAGCCTTTATGCATTTGTTTGGGGCACTTTGACCCTTTCTATGCAAATTAACCCTGTTGCAAAAACTGTCGGTGCAAACAGACGCGCTCAGTGAGAGTGTACGTCAAGTTGATATGCAATTCATGGAGCTGTTTTTGGCCTCAATTTTTTCTTAGTGAATTCCCCCCTCAGTGTTTTACAAACTCAAGAAGTTTAACAAAATGTCCAGAACAATTTCTTTCTTTCTCCACAGCAGAACTAAACTGTGTATATGTATTAAAAATGTTTCAGTTCCATGTAGTCCTCACCCACCTTGTTAAAGTGGTCACCAATAACCTCCCAGATCCTCGACCACTGCAGCCTGATGCGGCCCATGTTGTAATAGGAAATCTCGACTATTTTTTGCAGGCTGAACATACGTGGGTGTGTGGGCGAGGCCAGCTCATCCATGGACACAGCACACAGCCAGCGCACAAAATCAACTGCATAAAAAACACAAACAAAAATACAGACAAGATGTTTGCAATAGAGCCCAGAAAGGGTGTTTTGTACGGCCAAAGTGACTCATAGCGATCAGAAATAGCTGAAATGTACCTGTCCTTGGAGCAATGAGAAGAACACAGCGTGAAGCTTGACTCACCTATTGCGTTACCGTCCAGTCTAGTAGAACCAGTGAATATCCTGCAGCAGAAAAATATGTGACAGTAATTAGAAGGCAAGATGTGAGACAGCATGCAATTGCATATTTATCAAGAAGAAAGAGAGAGGCGAAGAACAATAAGACCAGCATATTAGTTTATTCAATATGACTAGGTGTGCTGCACTGAGATGACAATGTATATGTTTTTTTCTTTTCACTTCAGAATGACTGTTGTACCTGTCCACAGCCACCACCACACTCTGAGAGCTTGTTTCTCCGATGGACTCCTGAATGCTCAAAATCTGCTTTCTGTCCACTGTCCCTCCAACTACAGAGCAAAGCACAGAGGATTACATGTCAAACATCAGTTATAAGAAATGTTTTACAGTCAAAGTGTGTACACAAAAACAGCTTGCGAATTATAAAAGAACAAAGCTGTGACAATGTGTGTTTAATAGCTGGAGCTGACCTAAACCGAGGTACTCGTCGTTGCTCTGCTCCTTCGTACTTGTAATAAAGCCTTCTTTACTCCGCACCGTCCCTGAGATGTAGCGTGCTTTCACCCCTGTACCGATCAGCTGAGCCAGCTCCAGCTGACTGATGCACTTCATGATCTGAGAGAAGAAGAAGAAGGAGAAGGCACAAGACAGGGCCATGTTTAGATTCAAAATGTAATATGTGAATTAATAGAAATGGACAAAGCAAAACATTTAGACAGGACGGTGGATGAATACTGCTACACCTGTCTGATAGGTGAGGTCCAACTGGTTCCTATAAAATACACAAAAAGGATTCTGACTGCAGAATCCTTAAATGCAATACCAATGCACTCCCAGGAAAATCCTGGAAATCAATCTATTTTAGGTAGCCATAGCAAAAACTTTTACTGCTTGTTTTAAGGGCAACATATGCTTCAGGTTATGAACAAAATAGTTTTTAGGTTTTTGAAGTTATAACCCACAGGAGGCTGCACTAGTTTGTTTCATGTTGTTTCTAACAACAACTCTTAGTTGTTAAAAAAAAACTCAAACATATGTCCAATGGGAAATTGAGCCAATTGTGGCTGACTGTCTAAATTAGTGAAGGAATTTATGAGGAAAGGGGATACAATGAGTTTATATAGTACACAGTTTTGTGAGGAAGACAGTTTTTAACAGAAAAGAGAGTAGAAAACCTCATGCCAGGAGTTGCCCAGGTAGTTGCCGTCAGTGTGTGCAACAGTGATGAGGGTCTTGATGGTGTCGATGTTCTTCTGCTTCATTTCTGAGATGCCAGAGCTGGCGGTCAGCAGAGTGAACCTCGCCAGGGCCTGCACATATGCATCTCTCTCCAACTGTTGCAGAGACAAAAAGACAAGGCAGTGTGTCAAGATGGTTTGCGCCAATAGATAAATTGATACACTAATCCCTCAGTTCGGACTGCAGTACCTGGATGGAGAAGATGCATGCAATCCTGATGGCAAAGCGGATTCCCTCCAGACACAGTGAGGCCACCTCAGTGTCATCACAGTCCTGAAGCCCAACGCTAAAAGCAGCCAGGAAGGGAGTCCATGCCAGCTGAAGAACAGAGAGATGAGGTTGATAACATGTAAGTCAAACTGTACAGTATACTGTATGTCTTTGTGTGTCTCTGTCGGCTTGTGTTACCTTGAACATGGGCCTGACGTGTTCAAGATGTGTGGCACTGGTGAAGGGAGCCTGGACGTGGCTCACGGCCTCCATCAGAGCTTTTGCCGTCTTTGCCATCTGCTCCATCTCCACGTTGTAAAGCAGACGTCTCTGCTTCTCACTGGCCACACCTGAACCAGAACCCACATTTACCAAATACATACTTAGCTTTATATATAAAAAAACAACACTATTTGCATTTCAGGCCATGCAGAAGGATGGCTTGAAAAAACATCTCACTAGAAAGACACGGTTTAAGGGTGAACCACAGATACATTTCATAAAGGCATCCCCCAAGGTTCAGTCACAGGCCCATTTTTATTTACTGATTAGATAAAATGTTGCAAACAGCACAGGCTAAAATCTGTGTTTAATTTCTATGCTGGTGATGCTGTTCTTACATATCAGAGACATATCATACTAGAGAGACTCACTCTGCTTATTGGATTTCATGGTGAGCTCTTTCGTCTCCTTCATGGCGATCTTTTTCCCCGCAATCTCGTCATAGATGGCTGAGAGGTATTCCTCAGGTAGGTCTTTGCTGTCGTTGATGCCGCGGTTCATCTTGATGTATTGCTCTTTTGTCATCTTATTCTTCACCTTTGGAGACAACAACAAGGATACGGGTCAAAAGCTGCTGGTCTGAGGGAATGACAGCTGCAATAACACATTCCCATAAGGCCGCTGCCTTGCTGAGGTGTAGTGCTTACCTGTGGACTATGAAGGTCTGTTGTCAACATAATGATTGAGTAGGCAAGGACGTACGCTGTGTCAGCACTTGCAAATAGTGTTTGCCTGAAAAATTGAGGGGAAGGGGAGGGTAGGAAGACAAGGAATACATATTAATAAAACAGCATTTTGTATGTGGGCCACAAAAACTCTAATTCAGCTCTTCTATTGTCAGAATCTCCAGACAAGTGATGTAAACTCACCCCTGGTTGCATTCAAGGTATCTTGCTGCAAATTTCTCCATGAGCCGGTCAATCTTCTGGGCCTCTCCAGGGAGTCGAAAACCCTCCAGGAACATGCGTAGTGCAGAAACAAAGTCTTTGCCCTGGAAGTCCATTTGATCTACGTATGCGTACATCACTTCTTTGTTGAAACGGTCATTATCCCCGAGGAATTCTCCCACTTGAGTCTAAGAGAGAGGAGGTGAAACTTATCTGCTATGTAACATGAAAATAGACAAGTGTTTAATCCTGCTAAAAACATCTAAAGGATATGCTTTTGCTTAAAAACTGGTTGAAACTAAGTAAGAACTCAACTTTTTCACAAGCGCTTCTCTCGTAAAAAGGCAGAAAATTGATTTGGTGTAAAGAGCAGCTTATAGTTTTGTCTGTCTTTTCACCATGTATACCTTCCACAAGAAGCTGTTCTCATGTGGATTAACTAAATACATGTTAAGACTTTCATTCTTTCAACAGTGTTTTAATGCCACTACATCTAAGGGCCCTCCTTTCTAACAAGATTCTATGAAAGGTCTTTAATGTTGATTACCGCAACGCACAGCCACCCTTGAGGTTGTCCAATCAAAGCAGTGTGCTGCTCATTAGAGTTAACATTTACTCTGCTTGCAGGGCTCTGGTTTAGAGTGACCAGGGTTTATGTTGTTGGACAGAAATAAGGTTATCGTGTGTTTCCTTTGTGGTTTTGAAAGGCTGATACCAAGAAGTGAAGAGCAGAGTTTGTTTGTTTGCCAAGAATGTTGATGCTTTTTAGTTTCTAGTCACTAATTCTATTTAAGAAATCAGATAAAGTTGAACATGCTGTCTTAATGCAGACTACCAGACCCACATTTTTGGTTTAGGAAACATTTCTTAGATCTGAGACATAAAATCTCAACCTGGCACAAAGGTATAGCCTCGATATTATATTTATATGAATTAATGTCTTACTAGAAAACTGAGATAAATGAAGTAATACAATCAATTAGGTCTGTTATAGCTAAGGCATGTCATGAAAAAGGGGTGATGTGTTACCGAATCAAGCCTCTCTTCCTGGTGCAAGAACTGCGCAAGATCCTCTGGGGTTGTACCCAGCATGCCTTGCTCTTGAAGGTACTGGATTCCTCTCTTTGGTTTCTTGTTGAACCTTTACAGAACCCAGAGGCAAAAACACACATTATAGCCTTCTCAGTATCAATGGAAACAGAAACGACATTTGAATGATGTGTGTGGACAACGTACAGATCAATGCCTTGCTCGATGATCTCTTTCTGCTGTTTGAGGACCTCAAACTGCTCCGGGTTGTCAGTACCAGACATCTGGGTGCTGTAGCTACCGATGCCAGACGAGGCTGTGGAGTCCAGAGAGTTAATGCTCCCATAGCGGTTTATGGTCTCCGGGGCCTTGGTCTCTGTGCTCTCCTGTTCTACCGGCTTCTCTTGACCTGATGAGCAAAGAGAAATACAAGATGAGACAACCCAGAAGGGATGAAAAATGATGGGAAATAAGTATTTCTATTTGTACTGTAAGAAGTAATCGCCTCAAACCACCACAAAGGTGAGAGTTTTTAATTCAAAGTGTGTCGCTGGCTCAAACTGGGCCTGGAGACTAAAAACTTAAATCTTGTACTGCAGGAGAACGGCTTGAGTAATTGAAAGGGGAAACTGCAACACGGAGAACAAAATGACCCTGAGGGATTCTTAATGATTGTTGGAAGCAGGGAGGGGATGCACACTGGCATTACTCACATGCATACAAGACCAAAGCCTAACAAACTCCAGAAAACACACTTATTCACACAGAGCAAGGGGGCAAGGCAAGGTATGAGGGGAGGGTTTTTATAAAAGGCGGTGATATCTAAAAAGATCCAGGCACTCAGAGACGAAGCAGCCAAAACTTAACGGCCAGGAGGGGTGGTTTCTTAAGCTCAGGGATCTGCTGTTTGCAGCTGCTGGAGCAGGTCCACCCTGTAACCCTGAGCTCTCAGCCAGGCGTCTGATTACATATCGGAAACTCGTTAAAACATTCAGGACTGTGTCACGGTAACATGAGCTGAGCTTCTATTTGTTGGGCTTACAAAGAACAGAGAGAAGAAAATGGAGGAATACAGAGGAAGGGATGGACATGAATCTAAAGTTGAAGCTGGTCAAATACTTTTAAATTATTACTAAACTCAAAAGACATTTTAACAAACCGGTTTTGACCATTAGTTTACCTAAATCCATAGCTAGCTTTGGTTACTATTAATGGGTTAGATAACAGACTATCTTATACCAAACACATGTTATTTAATGCAAAACAAGTACTAAACCTTCTAATCCACAACAAGCTTGAAAACACATATCCTCATCACAGCAACACTTTCTAGCAAACACTTCTTTCTCTTCTAATTTTTACCTGCTCTCGCTTTGAAGTCAAACAAAAAGAGAGAAAACAAGAGACAAAGAGTGAAGATGATATATTGTATTTACATGATTCATTGTTTTGGATTTAACTCTAATGCGCTTCCACTAACAAGACAGAAAATCATCTTAATTCTCCAAAGCCATCAGAGTGAATTAAACATTCAAAATACAAATTCTACATCCTACTAGATGCCTCTGAGTGAACTCAGTTGGCTATCCTTGACAACTCAGCCCTGGGGCTAGCCGGTGGATATTTCCACTGTCTTATCTTTCCAGCCTTTTTACAGTTTAGCCTTTTACTAGTTTGAGCTCCTCCTTTAGAAAACAACAGAAATCCTCTGGTGTGCCAAAGACCCAGGGTTCCGATTCACACACAGTTCACCTTTTATGTTTAAAATGTTGGTGTCATTGCTTCTTGGCTTCGGGTATTTGCTCTTTTTTTAGTCTGACCCTGTGAGCATTATCTCACTGCCTCCCCTGCCTGGAGCTGAGCTGATGGATGCTTGCCTCCCTTCTCAGAGCCGTACCAAGTGTCAATCCCGCAACTGATTGCAGCTGTGCCAACGGATGTGAGCTATATCTTTAACCCAAGTTAACCTGGATGATAAACTGCTGCTGAAGGAAAGAATAGGTGCAACCTTTACAGGCTAATCTCTGACACATACCGTCAACAACAAAGGTTCAGTTTTTCACAGAGGAAAAAAGAAAATCAGCGTTTTTGTGGCCAAAATCAGCAAAACATAACACTGTAGGCACATCAACAATTCTTGTATGTATCATCTGTTTGTAAATGGGCATTAGACACCTCTGATCAACCAAACCAAACCCCTAATTTCAACAGGATTCTTATCACTTCACTTGTTAAAAGACAAATAAATGGTCATTGTGAAGAGTTTGACTGAACAGAAAGGTCACTTTGTATCATATTTAGTTTAGGATTGATAGCTGCCAGCTTAATTACATTCCTGTACATCAGCGTCTTACCGAGGCTTGTCTGGGAGTTGGGGTTGACATATTGGTCTTTACTCCATTCGACCATACATTTCAGGATGGACACTAGACATTCAAGGCCTTTCTTTCTCAGTGTCAGCTCCTAGACAATGAACAAAAAAAATTCCACATGTCTTCAAATTCTATAACTGCACATATTTAGAGGTAAAAAAAAAAAAAAAGGAAAGCGAAAAAAAATGTATCACCTGTACGGGTGTTGTGCCAAGCTCATGGCCCCCACGACCCTGTGCAATCTTTGAGAGGTCATTGACCAACCGCTCAAATATGTTAGCAGCATTCAAGTCACAATCATAGTTCACGTAGATGTCCACCACGCTCTGGGCATCTGAGAGAGAGAGAGAGAGAGAGAGAGAGAGAGAGAGAGAGAGAGAAACAGATGGAACACAGATGGAGTTTGTCAGTGAAAAAAAAGTATGAAACGAAGGAAACTGTGCTGATCTGCCGGCATGGAAACAGTACCCATTATAAGAGGTTAATTATAACAATCAAAATAATTAAAGCATTTACAAAATGAGGATATATTACTGTATTTAGCCAACAAATATTTAGGAAAACAGCGTATGTGTCTGTGTATGGAAATTCTCTCCCAACTGTCAATTACTGCATCGATATCAGATGGACTTAGTAAATGGACTTGAGCTTGTGCAGCGCTTTTCTAGTCTTCCTACTACTAAAGCGCTTTTACACCGCTGGCCTCACCTACCCGCTCACACTCAGTCACACACTGATGGCAGAGGCAGCTATTTAAAGTGTCCATCAGTATATGCTAATCCCATTCATACACATTCATACGGCGGAGTAGCGGGAGCAACTTGGGGTTAAGTGCCTTGCCCAAGGACACATCAGACATGTGGCTGAAGGAGCTGGGGATCGCACCCCCAACCTCTCAGTTGAGAGCTGACCGACTTCAACAACTGAGCCACAGCCGCAGAGGAGCAATACTCATCTGTGACACATAAGGATTGATTAGTTCCTCGTTACAAAGTAACAACAATAAACACTAACCTGCACATATTCTGGTGAGGGTTTGGATGACCATCCACTTGTGGTCGTAGGAGCTCGTGGACGTCTCAAGAATGTAGAGAAAAATCTCCTTAAAGAACACCTGCAGACAGAGTGAGAAACAACACCATTAGCTGTTAGCATGACCCAACACAACACATGATATTCTCCTTCAGGAGACACAGCAGGTGGTCCTACATTACAAACTTTGAACCAACTCTTCCACAATAAGAAATTATCAGCGGCAGAAAGAAGGTACAAGTGAAACCCTCTATTGCACAGAGGTGGAGGAATGTTACAGCGCAGTGTGAGAAACCACATCTCACATTCATCACCTTTGTCAGCTGCCTGCAGCATTTGGAAAAGGGTATCAGAGTTTCAGTGTTAGAAAATACTGGATGTGGTGTTCTTCCACAGGGAAAGACCAGAACAGAACTACTGTGTCTGTTATTCTCAAATTTTAAAGCAGGAGAATTCAAACCTAAAACTTGTTGTGAGTGCACACAAGTAGAAACTGAATGACCTACAGGGCTGCTTTTGTACTTGTTATCTTGCAGCACTTCATATTTTGCTTCCTTTGTCTTGAATAATGTGCACTTCAAGCCATTTGTTCCCTGGTATTTTCCTGAAACACTTATAGCTGCAGGAGAAGGTGTGAAACTGTTGCTTCCCATCTAGAGGCGGTGGGTGGATATAAAAATATACCTAATGTGCTGTGCCAACTGGTTCCTCAGGTTTTCCCTGAGAGCTTACATGTTGAAAAAGAGCTGGAATAAATGAAGAAGAAAAAAAAAGAGTGCCAAATGGACAGTATTTAGCAAAGATCAAGTGTGGTTTTTGGTAGTATGGACGACTTTTATTGCTTCATACTGAAAGCTTTTGAGTGAAAATATCTGATGGTTGTGAAGCAGCCGCAGAAAGTGGCTTTAGTAGGTGAGAGGTTTTAAGGTGTTAAGCTGCCATCTGAAAAACCCTGAGACATTTTGAGATCTTAGTCACCCCATTAAGGTAAACTCAGATTGTCATCAGAGACGTTGTTGTATTTTCTACAATCGATATATATCTATATATAGGGATGTTGACTTAAAAACCTTCAATCGCCTGACAAGCACAAGAACTGTCCGTTACCTCGATTTGCATCTTGAGGTGCGTCTTGAAGTGAGAGAGCAGGGTGAGGAAAATGGAGAGCGAGAGTTCGAAGACCTCTGGCACGGAGGAGACGCCGTTCTTGGACAGGGCCACGCACAGGTACTGCTTGATGGCGTTGATGAACATCTCATTAGTCTTGAAGATGGGCCCAGCGTTCTGCAGGATGGAGAGGAGCAGCTGGAGGGACAGGACCTTTGAGCGCAGCTCGTGGGACCTGAGGAAGAGGGGAGAGGAGAGGAGAAAGATCAGAAAGTGTTTATGTGTGTATTTCTAGGTGAGGGTTTACGTCTGCATCTTAATCTGATACTGTTTTGTGTACACTAACCCCATAAGAATAAATGTGGCTCCTGAATGAACACATTCTGAAGAGCATTAACATTTCAGTGAATTCAATTCTTCCAGTGACAAAATGAAATGTCTCACAAAACTGAAGTAGTAGTAGAAGTTTTACCTCAAAGAAGCAGTAGTGTAATTCAAACTGAGACCACATTATACTGGAACACTCTCCATCTGAGAGTTTAGACCTTCAACAGCCATCAAAAAAAAAATACTAGGGCGACTGAATCAAAGCCTTTTTTTTTTTTTTGCATGTGGAGCCTCTGCTCGTCTGAACTGCGTTTCTGCAGCAGAAGGACTAAAATACTGGAGCTCAGAAAACATTCTTTCTGCTACTTTATATGCTGAGATTGGCTGCCTCTCTGCAGTGTCTTCCATCTCTGGCGAGCAGACAAAGTGGGATTTATGTGGCACAACAAAAAATGTGATTCTAGTTCTGCTGCAAGTGCCAAAATGTTTTACTTTTTTCCCTCCCAAAGAAAACGACTTCTGTCAAAAAAAAGCAATAATGCATTCTTATGGTGAGTTTATAAATACAAAGGTATCACAGCGTGTTTAAGAAACAGGCATAAAAATATGAATAATTAAGTATTTAATCAGATAATGTCTGATGTGTATTAAATTATTATAATTCAGACAATATGTATTGAACACAAAAAAATAACCCCTCTATTCCCCCTCAAACCCCCACACAGGACTACCTCACTGGACTGTAAAATACAATATAACATACATCACAAACGTGCAATATATTTATCTGTATAGTAATTTTACTCATAGCTTTTCTTTTTATATCTATTTATATTTGCACCTTATTTTTCTATGTAAATACTTGCTGCTGTTTTTTTATCCTGCACTACAACGAGCCAAATGCAGCGAAATTTTGTTCTTATCTGCACTGTAAAGTACAAGTTTGAATGACAATAAAGAAAGTCTAAGTCTAATGGTCAAAGAACTACTGTAAGACTACATTACCCATAATTCAACACATGAAAGAAACACAAAAACATAAAAACAGTATGATAATAACTTATTATTCTTGATGAAAGCCTGATGTTGCCAGACAAAAATGATACATTAATCAAGTATTTCATATAACATTTTTATATTTAGTTTGGATTTAATATATAAATGAATCAACAACAGAGGATTTATTTTGTACTACAAACAATCACAGATGTCTCATAACAGAACAATTCCTCTAGTAGAAAACGTGTTCCTTTTGATCCAACTCGACAACACAAAGTCGTATCTGATGGATAATTTAATATAAACGAAGCTTCCCTGCCTGTGTGCTGTGTTGAATGTGTGTGACAGAGAGGGAAACGTCCTTGTTAGGAGGCTAAAAGGTTTCTGTCACATCAGAGCCAAGGTAATTGACATGGCCTTCATCAGAGGAACAAACACACTGTTGCACTAAAAAATAAAATAAAAACCTATTCAAGAATTGTCCGAGCTTCAATTTTTCTAAAAAAAACAAAAAAAACCAACAACAACATGAAAATAACAGAATAAAAGATTGGATGAATGGAAATGTAAGCAAACACATTCAGTCAGTCAGCCTACAGATGCTGTGTGAATCGAGTTAAACTCAGAAACCAGATGCAGGAAATCCTGTTTCACAGCTCTCAGGGCCAGCCAATCAGATGCCTCTAATGCAACCAACCAGGGGCATGGTCCGAGGAAATATTGAATGATAGCACAATCAGATTTTCGACATTTCTGGTGGTTTGAAACAGGAAACTGTTAAAAGGGGAATCATGAGGAAGTGATTCAGAAAGTGCTGAGTGATGCCTCATTGTCTTCTTCATCACCGTTTCTCACAAAAGCAGTGCTATCACTGGAGCTATCCTCATTATAAAGAATGACTCATGTCTATTCTTATCCCCCAACACACTCACAAACAATAATAACCAAAGCAGTGGAAGATAAAGGGGGGGAGGGGGGCAGAGGAGCTGGAGTAGCATACAGAAATATTCCAAAAAAGTGTTCTTCACAGATAGATTTGAAGCTGAATATGATCTTTATGCATTGTTGTATTGAGGAACAAAAACTGGAAAAACACAGGTTTGTGAGTAACATCAATTGCCTATCAGGTGTTAATGACAAATCTCTGTTACAATTTCAAATATTCTCATTTGGATGATGTATATTTTTGGATTTTTGTTGTCGTATTCTTATTTGTAAAAATTCAAATAGTCGATTTTAACGTAAGTCCGGTCTGACAATGCAAACAGCCAATCATAGTTGAGGAATTGGGGGCAGCTAATCAGATTTCGGAAGGGGGGGGGTCAGTGCCAACCCAATCCAACCCTCTGGACATGTGCCGTTATGTAACTTCATCCTGCTTCCACACAGCCATCGTAACTTTGTCATTGTTATTCCACGCTGTAAACATTCATTTCTCTCACTTTTTGTGCACATACTAAGTAACAAAAGATTACATTTAAGTTAAGATAGAATTCTAAACAATTAATGACAAGGCAAATAAAACAGAAATCCCATATTTGCACACCGCACTGAGTTCACTCTTACTTGGGGTCAGGTGGTCCGTCTGACAGCGGTTTCATAGACAGCTTGCAGAGCGAGCGAAAGACCAGGAAGGCGTCTTTCTGGAGGATGTGGGAAAACTTTGCACCCGGTTGCTGCCCGGGTGCTCCTCCTGATTCCTACAGAAGAACAAAAACATTTTTTTAAAATCAGTGAGCAGTTAAGTCTTATTTCATCCACATCCTCTTAATTATACTCCTTGCGGTCTATTCAATGTTTAACCTTGATTAGTGATAAGTAGTCCTCACAGCATGAGTGTTGACAGAATTATTCATTATTTTGCCTTTTGATTAAATGAAGTATTTTGTTCCTTCTGACACTCAGCCAGAATAGCTCTTTGGCAGGGCTCAAATGTTACATCATCAACATGAATATAATATTTTTGACACGTGAACTCCAGCAACATAACTCATTAAAAACAAAATGCTGCAGTTTCTACTAGTGTTTCCAAAGTGTACATGTAGACTGCAAATGTCTTGTTATCTTAAGTATGCAACAACTCTGCTCTTTGTTTTTTACCTGAGTGTCGTTGGACGAGACAGACAGTCGGTCATCAGGAAGCGAGGGGGTGAAGCTGGCAGAAATAGGCGTGCCGGGGATTCCGTTGGCGTGGACATGCTCACTGTCGCTACCCAGGGTGCTCTCGTCCTCCAGAGAGCTCTGAGTGCCCTCCGTCACCGCTTCAGCCGGCTCCGACTCTGCAGGCTCGCTCTCCCCACTGGACTCTTTGGTGTCAGAGCAAAGGTTTGTGGGGTCCAAGCAGTGTCCTGAGGTGATAATGGAGATGGATTAACAGGGTGACACTTCAACATTCCTAAAACATCAGGACTACATGTTTTCAACTTCTTTATCTTGGAGTTTGTCATAACATTCAGCAGCAAATTTGCAAATTCCATGTTCTGCAGCATTTACCAAACCTTCAGGTTAAGAGAGGATACTACTGTAAAGTGCATTCTCTGCCAAATGTTGCTTCCTGCCATTAAAGCCTATTTGTAGACAATTTTGCTCAAGGGCAAAATTCTACTTAAAAAGGATGCCCAAGCACTATTTTTGTGTGCACGAGTTAATAAAGCTTTTTTTTTGCAGCGATAAAAAAAACATTGCTCTTTTTTACTTCTGCACACAAAAACAGAGTTCTTTGCCTTCTTTTCATTAACAACTACAGCAACTTAAGGGAGCTTGACTAAACCTAAAATTATAGCAAAGCTGCCCAGGAACTGAGGACGTATTTCTTAACATAGGGCTGTGTTTAGAGTCTCCTTCTAGCATTTTGTACCCAGAACACAGCATTTCATATATCCAACAAGTGCATCAGTCTGTCTGTCTATATATATATATATATAAATAACTGAAGTGCAGCTTGTATATTTTGTTAGTTAAGTGCACTTCTCTCCTCTTCTTACAGTAAATGCACCTAAGTGAAGAATAACAGGAGGAGAGTAACATGCTTGCATGATCCACAGATGAGCTGCATTGTGCTGGTCATTCAGTATGTGGTGTTACAGCTCATTTTTCTAAAGTTCTTTGTGCAAGGATTTTGATATTTCGCCGAAATGTCAAAGACGGCACATAAAGGGAGAGCACCATGGAAAGGGTTCATGAGAGCTGCCCTGAACAAAGAGCAGAGAGGACGTTGTGGCTGTGGTACTTGAACCTGCTGTTCAGTCATCTGCTTATTCACTGCAACAAGTACACGCACTTGACAGTTACTTTAAGGTCAATTTTTACACGTAATCTATTCTTTGATACCAAAACAAAACTGCATTTATAAACGAGTCAACAAATAAAAGTAATAATGATTGAAGCAAACACTCAGAGCACTATTGCCTGCCTTTCAGAAACATGTACACATTTTAAACGTATATATTCTTTACATCTCACCTCCTGCAACAGTATTGACCACCTCCTGAAGAATGCTCTGCACAATTTCCTGGGCTTTCTCTTCATAGTTAGGAGACTCCTCTTCCTCCTCGCCTGCCTCTTGGTGCTGCTGGGCTGCTGCATCGTAAAAAAAAACACACACAGTTTTAGAAAAAACTCACTCATCCACTTTTTTTGACTAAAAGGTGCAGAGGGCAATCAAAGCCTGCATTCTGCTGAGCTGAGGGTTTTCCAGGGCAGCATGCATAAACTCAAAATATGACAGACAGACTATTTTTAATCCTGCTTTTCATATTCTCACCTGCCTCTCTCAGTGAATGAGGCACTGTAGTGCTGAATGTGGTATCAAATGTTTTCTACAGTAAACAATAACTCGAGCCACGTTTCTCTTCTTTGACTGAGTTGCAAAAATGACAAGAGGGAATCTTTTATAGTGAGTATTCAGAATGTTTGCTGCAATCCTGGGTGGTTTTATCAGAAAACATATCGGCTTTAACATTGATTAGCCATTTATTTAGTGTAAAAATAGCTTTAATTAAAAGAAGGTGTTGCTGCAGAAGATCCAGTAACACTTAAAGGGTCAGTTCAAAAGGAAATGGCAATATTTGGAGAGACTTTTTTCAAACGATTTAAGGCACGGGGAAAAGAGGCAGATTGTTAGTGCAATTCATTATAGCACCTGTCTTTCTTCTCTTTCTAGACAAGATTTTAAAAATAATATAGAATTTTAACAAAAAGGGCAAAAAATAGTCTTACTCTGTGCTGCTGCAGTGGCTTGATCCGCTTCCGTCTGTTCATTTTCAGCCACGCAGAAATCAGAACCATTTTCTGGATCTGGACTCTCGTAACAGGCCCCTGCGCTTCCTGCTCCTCTCTCTCCCTCTGCTCCTCCTGCTCCTCACACACAGACCTGCTGCTTCCCTCAAGGGCGGGTGTTGAGGGAGTGGACGGGGTGGATGGGATGTTGATGCTCGGAGTTGTAGGGGTGACAGGCCCGTTGGCCTCCTGGCTCGGACCTTTAGCAGTTGTGTGGATGTGAGTCTGGAGCTGGGGGGAGTCTGGCTCGGTGTGCTGGGTGACAGGGGAGTGCTGCCGGTGACGCTCCCTCTCCAGCTGCTTTGCTTCCTGCAGCTGGGAGCAGGCAGGCGATACACACACACACACACACACACACACACACACACAAGAAATAAAAAGAAAAGCACAAAAACACATGTGCATAAAGAAAGCACATAGAAAAAGTATGCAAGGAACAAGCACATGCAACACACACACACACACACACACACACACACACACACACACACACACACACACACACACACACACAGAAAAAGACAGGTTAGGACCATTTTATTAATCTCAAAACAGCAATTACAAGTTTGTTCAACCTGTCTAGATCCATAAAGTGTAAAAAAAAAAAAAAGTTTAATACTTCCAGATGTCTTGGCAGAAAGCAAGAGTTCATGTTATTTCTAACATCTACAGTGTGTGAGCGTACATTATGGAAACGTAAATGAAAACGCAGCTCACTGAGAAGTAAGACATGCGACTAAAACAACTACGAGACAAACTTGGTGTAATCGACTCATGCTGGTTTCTATTTCAGTCCAGTGGTGGCCCGAAAACTACATTTCTGATGGAAAATGGCTCATACAGCCATGTCCTGGCTGATGTGTCATGGCTGACATGCGTTACCACTGCTTCCGATATGGAGTGCTGGAAAGTGTTGCATGAGCTGGAAGTGGGTCACAAGGCAGTTTCATACGGCTGCAGCTCATTAGATATGTGATGTTTATATCATTTCTGACAGTAGATAATAATAGTTTTTTTGGAGCATAATTAAAGCTTGTTGATGGTTCAAACTATTTCACAGAAAACACCAATGCATGTTCCAAAAAAAAGGAGAGAGCATACAGTTACAGGCAGTGGAAATTCTCTCAGCCAAGCCAGACTAACAACAGCCCAGTGTGCATTTCAAAGCAGGTGCATTTGTCTATTTGTCAGGCATACATGTTGAAGACAACAAATTATAAACTCAAGTGACTTGTAGAGGGAGAAGCACGGTGACTTAAGAGAGACAGGAGGGTACAGATGGAAATATAAACACATTTGTGACACGTTTACAGAAGAGGGGTGATAGATGATGATCCTTCTGTCAACAGCAGACTAGCTTTGGATTTCAAATTTGAATGAACCATATAACTCTGCCAGTAACACCAATGATTGTGTCAGCGATCATTTAATCTGTTGTGTGTTCTTGTTGTTTCTTCTTTCTTTTTCTCTGACATGGGAAACAAAAATGGTATTTCAGGCCTAATTTTTAAACACGCTTCTTTCATTAAAGCCATTATGCCTTGATTTTCAAACCAGCTTTCCACCAGCTGTTTTACTCTCATTTGATAAGCCTGCTGCTGTTGTAACATTTCAACTAAGCAATAAATTGAATGACACAGCATCCTAAATGAAACCATTAGTATTGAATATTTAGCAGGACAGACAATGACCTCGGCTGGAGGGGACAAACAAACTAAGCTCATTACTTAAATGCCACCTCAGTTGGATGGTGAGGGCTGAAGCTGAGTGAGGTGTGTGTGTGTGTGTGTGATCACACCATGCTGAGCTGCAGTCAGGGGGACACATCTCCAACACACAAACACACAAAGTGGATCTCCCCGTGCAGCAGCACAACACAACAATAGGGCTCTGCCTCAAAGTCTGCCTTGTCTCTCTGTCTCCACCCCTGACTGCTTCTTTCTATTTCTCCAACTGTGTCTGACTCAATACCAGTCGCTCATTTTTCTGAGAGAACTATATTAAGCCTTTGGAGGAAATAAAAAAAACAGAACACAAAGCTGTCAGGAATGAGACAGGCATAGCTGGCCTGCGATAAAACATTCACCACGCCCAGGTGTGGATGCAAACTAAGATGTAAATCGGTGTGCAGGGAAAGCGCAATGATTTGTAGGCAAGTCAACGGAAGCCAAAGCAAGCATATGGTGGCAAAAGGTACACAGCAAAAACCTGCTCCTGTGCAGTGTAGGAGCAAAGGAAAGCAAACGCATGAGTGCATGAATGGATGAGGAAAAGCTGTATGCGCAAACACAAGATACACAGAGAAGAGTTTAAGAGTTTTGATCAGGCAAGTTCACGGCAGTCCTGCACTCTTTACCTGGCGGTCACGCTTTCTGGAGGCCAGAGACCAAGATAGCTTGTGATTTGTAAGCTATGTGTCCAAAAGGAAAGGAGGGAGGCAGGTGAGGAGGGGGAAAGTGTCATTCAAAAAGAAAAAGATGACATTAGAGCAAGCTTTTGTTTTGAAAGGCAACACCTTAAAGTGTCCCACTGGACGCAGAGCAAACAGTAATCTTTATTGAAATCAGGAAGATGAGGTTTGAGTTAACCAAGCATAAAAGCTTTCCCAAAATTAATATGTCTCTCATTGTAATACAATCCATTTTGACTCCATGTCCAAAATAGTTTTAGGTTTTGGCAACTCATTGCAGCACTTTTTATTTGCAATCTCGCTGATTTCTTTGTCCAAAAAGAGGCAGTATTTGGCTTTTTTTGTCAAATTTCATAAAGAATAGCTCAAGGAAGAAGTTGCCTCTTTCACTTTGGTGTTTTTTTTGTTTGTTTTTTTTAACATAAAAAGCAATATCTTTGTTATAAGTGAATGAAAAGAGGGTTGGACATACTGCTTGATTTTCCATGCGTGCAAAAATGACGTTGAGCATCTGGGTGAGCGTGGCCTTGGCTGTGGTCTGGTTGATGAGGTTCTTGCTGGCCAGGTAGATGTTGTAACATGTGCGGACGGCCTGCAGCACGGTGCCCTCATGGATTTCTATGTGCTGGGAGGTCACCGCTGTCAACAGAGCCTGGGAGAAAGACATCGGAAACAATTGTGAGATTTACTAGCTCCAAAAGTTGTCATTATCTTCTGTTACTGCAGAAAAACGAAGTCAGCTTCAAAAACATACATATTATGAGTGTAAGGGTCCATTTCTAAAGTAGAGTTAATAAAGTTGGTGTCAAGTTTTTCGTTGGTCCATGGGAAACATTTTGAACATGTAACCTCACCACAGCCTTTTTTTTCTCACACATTCTTTCCTCCAGAAATGCTCCGGATATTTTACAAGTCGGCGTCATAAAGAGTCCTAATTCTCAAGTCAACAGTGTGACTCATCAACAGATAAATACATGATGTAAGGAAAACATGATTATTCATTTGGTGGACATGCGTTTCTAAAGCTACTGTACATGTGTTTCACTGGAGAGTTTTGCAAACAGAGCAAAGCCGTTAAAAGACGATGAAATAAGATCAACAGAACAAGTTTTTAAAGTCTTAAATTCTAGAAAATAATAACCACAGGGTTTTACCACTTTCAATCGGGACAGGTTGTGGCAGTATTATAATTAACAACACACTGATGAATTTTCATGAACATTTTTTATGTGCTAAAATTATTAATAATCAAGCCAAGGTGATAAACAATGCTTCAAAACTAACTTTAAATCTATCAGTTGAGCAACCTTTGAGATCCATGAGCACTCTTCTACCTTAGCAGCAACATTTCTCTTCACTGCCTCTCTAGCGCTGACGTCCAAACAAACCAGCCAAAGAAAACATAACAAGGATCAAAATGTTTTTTTCTCAGTCCTCCCTCTCAGGCCGGATCAGAGCCGCAGACACTTCAAGCAGTGACCTGTAGAAAGGCCACCAATACCAAAAAGGACAGTACTACAAAACACAACAAAACAAAACCTCTCTTTATTTAAAACTCCCCCAGTTGGAACTCATTTCCTTGTAAATAATCACAATTATGACATAATTACACACAACTTGCAAAGTTTCCAAATTACATATTGATTATTGAGCTTAAACAAAGATTGTCTCAAAACAAAAAACCCAGAAGGATTGTCTGCACTAAACGAAACACAGCTATTACGGTAAGTGTTTTTAACACTGGTTTGTGTGGATTTTGGTGACCCCTTAGACAAAGATGTTCCTCTTACCTCTTTGCAAATCTTGTCCTGTAAATGTATAAGTCTGTTTGTTTTTTTTAGCCATAATCTCATCCTGCTTTCTTTAATCAGACAAATGTATGACTCATCAAAAAGTCTTTGCTGTGGAAAATGAGAATAAGGACAGGAGCCTTAAATATCTGCAAGAAACTGAGCTGTTCAAAGAGACGAAGATGAGGCCCACCTTGATAATCTGTAGCTGCACGCCCTCGTCAGTCTGCGGCCCTTGGAAACAGGCGCAGATGGTCTCGATGATCCTGTCGATGAGCTTCTTGCCCGGCGCCGTGTTGTCAGGGGCGCTGCCTGTCAGATGGCCGTACGCTATCAGTTTCTACAAAACAGAGACACATGCAAACATCAACATTAACACTTGTTATGACATGACCGGCGAGCCTTTATTTTCCTGATCATCTTATGACCTATATGAAAGAAACTTAAGTTTGGATGTACATTTATAGCTCCTTTTCTACTTGACTTGTCTCAGGTAAGCAATAGATCTTAAAAACAATAGCACGAGTGAGAACCTCACAGAAACACTCCTGCAAACACTCGGGCGTCTGCGATCCAAAGTGTCCTTCCACTGACCTGTAAACAGTCGAGCGAGGTGATGACGATGCGGGGACATTTGGACTGACATGCCAGCTCAAACGGCAAGAAGTACTTGTCGGCTTCAATGAAGTTGGTCTTTGATTTGATTGGCGGTAAAGTGCTGGAACCTGATTTGCTGTCTCCACTGGGCGGACTAGGGAAAGAACAATACATGGACACAAACAAAAAAAAAGAAGCAATAGAGACTTTGAGATAAACACAGTGATCACACGGTACAGTCTGTCAGCCTGACACACTCACACTCCCAGAGATATCGAGGCATAAAACAAAAAGTGAAGACAGGCATGTTCCAGTGTACAGAAAATCCCTTTTACAATCCGCATTAAACTTGACCTCAAACACATCTTGCTCCTCAGAGAAAATGCAGAATAACAGAATCTTAAGTACACTGAATTTAATATGCTGCCTGACTGCTTTAATTTTTTTTTTTTTTTTTTACTTGGTCTCTCTCTCAAGAAGGGGCATTAATCCCTGAGGCTTGTTATTCAGGCTCAGACTTTGCCACGTGTTCATGCTGACAAAGCACCTCCTACACCGGGACTGAATCTTAATAAAATGATGCAGCTATTTTATTTTTTTTAATACCAGAGACACAGCAATAAAATATGGACAATTTCTTTCAGCAGCCATGTATCTACAGCATCCCCACCACACCCAGACTGCACAGGCTGGGACAAGAGAAGAACCGAGACAGAGAGGAGGGAGGGAGGGAGACAGGGGGATAGGGAGCGGTTGTATTGTTTATGTCTTGGCGATGAAAACGGATGACTTCAGCTCTTTTCAGAGGGACGACCTCACTAAGTAAAGCAGGGCACAATCAGAGAGAGGAGAGAGGGAGGATGAAGTGTCTTGTAAGGGAAGTGAAGGGGGATAAAATGTTATAAAGAGGGCGATTTGGAAACAAAGGAGGAAACAGGCATCGAGCAGAATGAATTACTGAGGAATTAGAGAGAGATCAAGAGATCCGGAAGCGAAACAGAAGATGGGATGAAAAGGAAAAAAAGAGAAAAAGCAAAAAATAAAATAGTAGAAGCTTTCTGAAAACAGAAGAGGAGACACGCTCTTAAACAGGAATTGGAGAGGGAATAAGATGCTGTAGAAAGAACATAAAGACAGAAATTAAAAGATTATTTCCAAAACCTTTTGGACAACCACATCAAAGTGGAGCTGTGTTTCCCTACAGGGTCATGTGTGTGGTTTGACCCACTCTGTGTTGTGCTGCTGTGAGTCTGCAGGGAGCTCTTCTCCTCTGGATTATTCCTCGACTCCAAGCTTAATGTCAGCTGGCCTGCTCTCTCGCTTATGATCAGCCCAACATCACACTTAGCCTGCTTGTTAAACACAATATGGACATTAAATGCACTTAAGTAGGACAGCGTAGGACTACATCTATATTTAACTGGTGTTATTGTGTGCGGGGGGTTTCATTGGATGCTATAGTTCAGATTTCTCTACACAGGGAAATGGGTTTTTATGTACTAAATCAATCTATCAGCATTACTATACAGGAGTATGTCTCATCTGGTATTTGGTTCTGGTATGTATTGACCTTGGAAATGGCCTTAGTGTGTGGGTGTGGGTTAAATGACCATTCAAGCAAGCTAGCAAGCTGACATTTGTCAGTCTTTAATGCTATGCTTATTCAACCAGCTCACGCCTCCAGCGTCATACTAAGAAGACAGTTATGAGGGACAATCTTTTCATCAAAGTCTTGGCAACATAGCAATTTTATAAATGCATTTTTTCCCACAGCAATGCTGACAAGCAGACCTAGTGTCTAGATCTATTGTTCAATGTCAACCAAACTTTGTCTGATGTCAGTGGTCTTTTAGGTGTTGTTAAATTGTTTCACTGATTTGGTCACTACATTCCATTCACAATAAGGAGTCTCCGAAAGCACCAGAATGAGGCCCAAAATGTGTGAGTGGTACCTGAGATGAATCTAAAAGCAGCAGCCTTTGAGTGAGCTGGGTGTGGCTGCACACAGCCTCACATCTATCCATCTTTGATGTACAAGTCCAAACCTCCAGGGTAAAATCTGAATGAAGTTGTTTGCTAATTTTGGAGGATTGGAAAAGATGGAAAAGAAATATAACGGGACAACAGGAGACGGGAAACGGGGAGGGACAAAAATGCAAGATGGATTTAACGATGAAACAGCAGGAGGAAGAATGAATGGAGAAGGGGTTTCATTCCAAAGCTCACGTTACCTAGCAGCTGACACACGGGCACACCAAATCTAAAGACACACACACACACACTCTCACAACCAAGTTGAGCATTAGGCGTTCATGAAGAAAGCCAATAATGAGAAGGCAAAGGGCTGCTGGAAACAAGCCAGGGTGTGAAACCAAAACAAAAACACGCTAGAGAGGCTGCAACCCATAGATACACACACTCACACTGTTTAATCCACCTCACTTGTCTGAACACAGGAGGAGGGAACAGACAGGCTTTTTTTTTTTTTTTTTTACAGAGCCCAGTGCTAACTGCGTTATAATAAATCAATTTCTTACCTTAATTTTTCTGATTCCTCTTTGATTTCCTCTGAAATGAAAAAAAAGAGAAAGGGATTAGATGTTAAATTAGTCAAGCATGAGCTTTGGGAAATGTACATTCTACACTCTGTTTTACTCAGCTAATGATACCATAGGGAGTTAAGAACATTTCAAGCATAACAGTGCGGATGAGTCAACATATTTATGAAGGACGCTTAAAAAAAAAAAAAGAACCATCTGAAACGTATTAATGCAAAACTTCGGTGTTTGCACGTATATGATTAAAAACTATTTTCAAAGTTGAGTGCGCGTGTTTGCGCGCAACAACCAAAATACCTCCCAGAGGATTCAGCTACATGCTATGCTTTGCAAAGGGTTACAGTAAATATAAACATCCATTAGAAATACTGTAGTTGTAAGAGTAGAGTTAGAGTGTTGAAACAGACTGGGGTTCACATTATTCAAGCAGAAAAACAAGTGTAGGGTGTTTCTTTTTGCCTAAATGTCACTGTGTCGCCCTGTGTTGACGTCCCACCGTTGTGCAGAAAAGAGCCTTGTTCATGTATTGCCTCAGCTGCAGCTTAGCCCAACATTTGTGGTTATTTCACAGATCTACCGACATGAAAGCAGTTTTATGAACTCGCTGAGCACTGGCACAGAAAGGGGGGGGGGGGGGGGAGACAGAAACAGACACACAGAGGGAGGGGAGAGAGAGAGAAAACGAGACAGAAATAGAGCAAAAAGAGAGGCCAATTGGTACTAGACATTAAAGGGGGCCTTGAATGAGGAGGCTTTTAAAACACAGTGGCAATCGGCAGAGTCCTCACAGAATTGCACCAGCCTGCAATGTTCGGGGAAAAACTCCGTAATGCATCGACAGCCCAATTATTTCACTGCTGGAAGGCTAACAGCCCTTTCAAAGAAATTCACTTGGTGAAAATATTTAGTACGCAACGCTCTGTGGAATTAAAATAATTCTACTCTCAATCGTCTTAAACTGTCCTAACCAAGAGGGACATGAGGGGGGAAAAGTCATGAGGACAAGAAGAGGCAAAAAGCAAATGTCGCTTTTTGATTTGGAGCTGATTGATGCTAAGTTATACACTCGTTACACACATGCAGTCGCTACAGTCCCTGTGGATCCAAATCTGACAAGATCCAAGCATGTATCATCTTGTCATCTCTTCATGTCATGACTCTGAGACAGATTGAGCGGGATTGTGGACCCTCCACCCAAGTCACATCGTCTTCTGTTTTACTTCTGTGGAGTAAACTAAGCAAGGAAACCAAGTAGAGACTAAATTGATGCGTTTGACTGCTTGAAATGAAAAGAGAAAAACAGCACATCTAAATTTTAGAAGCTGCAAAAAAAATGTGTTAGATGTATTTTTCTTCTTCAGTCCAAAACTGAACAAGATCGAAACAACTTTGATTAGATGACCATGGTCAGGCTGAGATTGTAAGCGTTTTGGAATCCTGATCAGTTTGAAAGTTGTGTTGCATCGCACACATCAGGAGAACTTCACAGATCCTCTTGTCTGTAATGTCCTGCATTCTTACACTACAGGTGAATCACTCACCTCAGGAAACTATAAAGATGATCACAAGAGAGCATTAAACCATATCGTGCGACAAAAGCAAAGGGCTTAGTTAATCTGAGGAAGAACATTTTTGTGGAGACGCAATTAACACCCTTCTGTATCGAGAACCGATGGCGAGACTCTACCTGTTAGTTCCCTTTCCCGCAGAAGCATGTTAGCTAACATTAGCCTCAGGGCTAGAATGTTTTCTGTTGCATTTAAACACAGTCAGCAGCTGTGTCCTCTCCTCTCTCTAATTGGCTATTATGATCCCTCTGCGGAAGATCTAACGTTTAAAAGTTTTAATTTTTATTTAGTATGATCTTCTTCAACTGTCTTTGTGCGGTTGCAACGCCCAAATTTCCCCTCTGGGGATCAATAAAGTATTATCCTATCCTAATCATCCTGAATTTAACTCTTTAATATCATTCATGTGTAAAATTATAACAGCCCTTCCAACAAGTCCAAGGATAAGCTGGGTAGATTAAAGTTTGTATCATGAAAGACTTCACATTGTTCATTTTGGCCATATACTAAAATGAAGTCTAAGAAAAACAATCAATGTTTATTTTTAACTAGAATGTGGCAGACTGGCCGGTTTTGTATTGTTACTTAAGATGCTTTGCTGTTTGTTTTCCCACACTGTATATTCAACTCTGTTTCCAAATATGAAGATAATTATATTTCTAGTTCTAAAAGAATTCTAATGAAAATCAGATAATATAAACACCGGTTTCGATACCACAGCAACAAAAATACAAATCCTCGAATTTCAAGATCAAGAAATACCCAATGTTGGGTATTTCTTGATCTTGATCTGAAATAACCAAAGAAGTCATGCAAAAGGCTTCACAATGTCAACATTGCTCAACGTTTGGTATCTTACATTGCCAAATGTATTTGTGCAATTTAGACGAGGTAAAGGAGTTTGTGCTCCCAGCAGCCGTAAGATATACCAGTATTTCTTGTTCTGTACATATAGTTCAATTTAACGGATGATGGATGAGTGGATATTTGGCCTGAGATGCACTTGAGCTTCAACAATAGGACTGAGAGGTTTCATTTAATCTGCAATGAATGGAACTTCTGGCTCAAGCTGATGCAGTCTGTGTGTATGTGTGAGTGTATGTGTGAGTGTGTTTGTGTACAATCTAACAGGAACAACAACAAAAATTGAGAGAAGTGTTGTAGTAGTAGCGTTTAAATTTTTTTTAAATTAATTCTCTGCTGATCAACCGATCTATTAAATGACTACTTGTATCTTTGCTTATTATTCCTATCATAAATACATAATGATACTCATCATAAATATAATCCTCGTACTCTGTTTTCCCTTCAAACTTTGAAATTCTTAGCCACCAATCAACTTTCCACACCAAGACAAGTGAATAATTAGCACAGTCCAATCTTTTACCTCTGCCAGCTAGTCATTCCTCTTAACTCGACTATACAAGAAAGAAATCCGACATCAGACAGCTGGGCCCAAGAGGAATGAAATGCAATATCACACTGTGTGCTGCAATGAAAGCCAAAGCTGTACATCTGTCTTGATCTGTTAAGTGTCTGTGCACGTCTGAAGTCTATAATATCAAAAATACAGCAGTACTCCAGAGGTCTCGCTTCCAGGATGTGTGAAATTACAAACTTGCACTGACCCAGGCTATTTGGCTTTTAATATTAGCTTCACGTCATCTCTGCAGCCCGCGGTTATCAGATTTATGCAAATACTACTCAAATCAAACAAGAAGACGGCAGACAGGCAGACGGTTTGATGGGAAGGGTGGGGTTTGTCATATTGACTGTGCAAGTGACTGTCAGAGAATTAGCTTGGTGTGTCAGGAGTGTGATGATGAAGAATTGTCACCGAAGGACTTAAATGAGGAACCATGGCAACGGTGATGAGAAAATACAGCTATATATATTTATATTTAGGTACTGGATGCTCCTGGGACACGGCAGACACAAGCTGAAATGAAAGCTGTGGATTCACGTCTGATCTGCCAGATAGCAAAACAAACACACAGTTATTGAGTGCAGACATATGCATGGAGGCAGAGACAGACAAGCTGGACTAAAACACACACATAACCCTCAACAAATGTTTACTCTTATACACCAATTTTTTTAAAGAAATTAGCCGTGACATGTTTGTATCAAATGCTGCATATAACAAGCCCAGAACACAGAGAAGCACTTTAGTGAAGTATTTATTTTTATTGCTATATGGCTGTGAGGGAAAAGGACACAAACGGCTAATCTTAGTCCAATCAAGTGACACAAATAAACTAAATACCAACTCAAATTTGATCAAACAGCTATAATATGAATCATGGCTGCCAGTAGCAACCGCAGTTTGCGTAGAGAAGAACAGGGTACTGTTAGCAAAGAGTATAAGTTTAAGCTAGCAGTAAGCAGCCGGTGTTTCCCTATGACATGTTTGAAGACTGAATGTTTTTTTTTTTTGTTCAATTAAAAAGTTAAGTTAATAAAACAGGGTAATTATAAAAGCCCTATGGTAAAAATCTAAACTTTTCTTTAGCTTTTCGGCTGACAAAGGACATCAGGAGGAGAGGTGCTATAGTATAGCTATGCTATTGTTAGCCTAATTTGTTTGAAGATGCTCAGCTTGTTTTTAGGTTGTGTTTTCTTTAGTGTACTTAGACAGACTGTACAGAAATAAAAGCAGTCATATCACTACTAGAGTTAGTAGTATAGCTGCAGCTGTCATATATAATATCAACAACATGCTTGTCTTTTAAATTGCACTAAACATTTCGACTGAGAAACAGCAGCCTTTTATAACTTTTTCACCAGACTTATGCGTATATACTCAAACTCTGCAGCATTCATGCTAATAATGATAACCTAGAAGACAGTATGGTCTATGCAATGGTTTGTATAATCAATGAGAGTCTATTTAAAAGACTCGCTCAAATAATATTGGGGGAAACAAATGTAAGGGCACATTTTTTTACAACCTTCAGTTTAAGTATAATTTGCTTGCAGAAACATTTTAAAAAAACTTGCTAAATACAATAAAAGCATTGTTGATGAGAATTAATTGGTATAAATATATAAAAAAAATGTCTTCATACTCAATTACAGACTTGAATTTTGCATTAATTATTGAGGATCTGGTGAGAATGGAAAAGCTGGCCCACAGGATGCTCTCTCTTAAAACACTGAGGCTTAAACAGTAAGCCTTGGTGGATTGGTATACATAAAGCACCAATTTCCCTGACCAGATACATTAGAGAAAAGGCAACCTGCTCTCTTGTGACTATAGCCCTGACCACACCTCAATAAAAAAGCCTTTGAGAGCTCCATAATGCATGCAACAGCAGCATGCTAAACCCTGAATCACCTTTTCCAACATCTTCAAGGTACTTTTTTTACTCCTCTGACTTTGACCCAAATCCTTACAATACATGACATTAATTGAGCGTTAATGTCAAGGGGCCATTTCCCT